ATTATCCATAGAGCTATAATATAAAAAATATATGAAAATACCTTAGAGCCTAGATGGTCGCGTACAGCGCGATACCACTTTCCATCAGTCAGCTTGTTTGTCATTCTTTCCACTATATTTTCAACATATATCTTATTTATCTAGAGCTATAATATAAAAAATATATGAAAATACCTTAGAGCCTAGATGGTCACGTACGTCGAGGTTTTTACAAAAACTACAGCATGGAGTTCTTCAAGAACAAATAAAGTATCTTCAGGGTCGGTAATGCGCGCGTATTGCCTTTAATATAGTCGACGTTCATAGGCTAGGTAACCGCTTGCCATCAGGTAAATTGTATGCTGTTTGCCACCTCAGTACTATAAAAAAAATGATTTAATCAAAACCAGCTGAACGTAGCGAACAAGACTAGATTTAAAAAATATAGTAACAATGTTGCTATATAAAAATTTATTCTCCGTATGGAACAAAATCCGTAACGTTGATTCATTCAATAAGTATTGTTTTAAACACCCACTGCTAAAAGAGGAATGTTTGCCATTCACCCTATATTTATTGGTTAAATTAGTTCTTAAACAGTTGATCGTACTTAAATTCCTATCTTATAAAATCAATGTAAAGTCATCCTTAATATTTTTAGACTACCAACTTCCACAGCACTTTATTTCGTTAAGGTTCTCCTTCGTGCAGGACTGGGACTGCCGACAAATGATAGAAGAGATAATGGGATATATTTTATAACTGTGGTCTACAGACACTACTATTTGCGATTCCTCAGACCATTCTGAAAAGATTAATTTAAAAACTCTTGGTTAAATATTACATTTAGAACATAGAGTTTAAACTCAAATGTGTTATACAAGCACATAGGTTTATTCAAGACGAACAAGATCCGACAAAACAGGGTTATTTTCGTCATGGTAACTAAAATATGCTATTTATATAAGTATACCTATTAAATAATTTAAGACTTTGTTCCTCGTAAAACTGACTTTAATTACATTACTAATAAGTTGGTAAAAAGTCAATTACAAAATAATAATCAAAATCGGATAACAATTAGCTAATATATCGTGTTTATATTTATAATCAACCGTTAAGGTTTTGCAAGTAGTTGCCACGCTTGTCAGGCAGGTTGGCAACCGCAACTAGGCTTTGGTGATATTTTAAGAGGGACGCTGCTGCCCATCCCTCGGCCATAAGCTCCCTTAGTCGCCTCTTACGACACCCACGGAAAAGGATGCCAGTATCTACACGGCTAATATGAAAATACCTACTAAATAATTTAAGATTTTGTTTTATGTAAAAAGTAGCTGTATTCACAATAAAATTAATATGCTACTTGTAATTTAGTAAAAAAACCTTTCAATTACAAAATATTAATTAAAATTTAATAACAATTAGCAAATATATTGCGTTTCTATTTATTATTATATGAATCAAGAATCCATCATATCATCAGCAACCCTTTAACTATCAACTTCTGAACATAAGCCTCCCCCTGGGTTTACCAGTAGTTGCCACGCTTGGCAGGCGGATTGGCAACCGCAGTTAGGTTTTAGAAGTGTATTTAAAGGGACGCTCCTGATTAGTCGACTCTTACTACCCCCGGCCAATAGAAGAATTAATATGTACTAATAGAAAACTTCCTTCTTTTTGAAATTAATTGATAACAACTGTTCCGTGTTAGTAAATACTGTAAACAAATAACCAACATTTGCATAAAGGTTAGATTTATAATAACAGTTACCTATAACGGCTACCGGCTAATGGCAACGTCGACAGAGCGTTAAATTAATTGTGCCCGCGACTGATACAATAAATCAATTTCGTCTGCACTCGTAATAGTTAAACAAATGGACGTCAATAAAGTTATAAAAAACCCAACTGTCAAATAAGTTTATAGGATAAAACAGGAATAAAAGCTGCCATATTTATTTTGCTCTACGACCAACAGGTTTACTGTCTTTTTTTATCAGTGATAATGAAATGGTAACCCCACCTGCGCTATCGGTATACACCGGCGGGGCACCAGTGAAGGATGATAGATGAGGATGAAGCAGGTCATTTAGCCCATCGTGATGAATTCAACAAGAATTGTTCACGGTGATTTCCAGGGGGAACCACGTGAAGGTCGACCTAATAGGGCGTATTGGTAGCAATGGGGCTGTCAAATTCCATTGCTAACAATCCCTTTCCCCCTCAAGTCTACTGTTGAATCTAATATCACCATCAATCAAATGAATTACCAATGACAATTTTGTTAATTCATAAAACAGCAATTTAGAATTAGGTTATAATTGAGGTCGGATTACAATAGTTTGCATTGGCAAATTTTTTTTTATGCAACTTAGTACGGCAAACAAGCTGACGGCCCTGATGGAAAATGATAACCGTCGCCTAAGCATGAGCGGTACCATGGACAAAACAGAATATACTTTTTCTCCCATGATATCCCCTATGCGTTGTCATTCCTGAGGACTCAGGTGTTATATCTCTGTACCCTATAAATTCGCTGTAATTGTAAGTTACACTAATATGAATTTATCAAAACAATAAGAAACCGTTATGTCGCTAGTATTGCAATTCGAGAGTGTGAGACGTCTCAATTTCAATATCGGTTTATTGGAATTTATTTTCACACAATGAAGAGTAATGTAACGATATCACGTTTATTAAGATGTATCTAATTATTTTAGACTGTACTTTACGCCAAAAACCTAAATATATAATATTCATATGTGGTATTTGGCTCTTTAGTATCAAGAGAGTAAAATATATAAGACTATATTTTTTTTTACTTTTTTGCAAGATATTGTCTTTTAAATCTTTAACTACGTACCTTATTCAAAGTTACTTGAAATGTCTATAAACTTAATTTGCTCGAGCAAATGAAGTTTTGTAATTAAACAAAATAAAAGTTACCCGAAATAATCTCGGAACGCGAAATAAATGGGTGTCTGAGTGATTTAATGTTATAAATACCGTCTCGTTTCCTGTCGTTTGATGGAAAAGCAATTTGGGTTTCAGCTTAATTAGCTTATCGTACAACATCTGTGGTTTCTGTAAATGTAAAATATAAATTAAATCAACTAAATTGAACCAAGGGAGTTGCGATCGGATCAACGAGATCTTACAAATAATTTTATGTCAAAACATACTTTATCTCGCTGCGTTTGCATGACAAGCCTAATTAAAATGTTTGATTGAAAGAAGCGTTTAGGTTTAGCCAACATCATAGTATGTATTTTGTTGTAAAAGGTTACAATTAACTTTTTAACCAAAAATAAATTCAGTATTTTTACATATTTATCAACCATTAGAGACGTGGGGGGAAAGGGATTATCAGTAATGAGACTAGAGGCCCCATTGCTAACATATACCTTATCAGGTCGACCTCCACACGATTCCCCGTGGAAACTATCTTGATTGTTTTTTTTACGAATTTATCACTATAGGCCGGATCGGCTTTCATCCTCACCTATCATCCCTCACTGGTGCCCCGCCAGTGTATACCTTTAGCGCAGGCAGGGTTACTATTCCATTATCGTTCATTTAAAAAAATATTAAAATATATTAACTAATAATAACTATTTCATTATTACCATTGTACATTATATCTAATAAAACAACTTTGAAATTGTGTTCCGCAAAATAGACAAACTAAAATTGTGACAAAACCAGTTTTTTTTTTTTTTTATTTTATTTTATTTCTAAACTACTGAACCGTTTTAATCAGAAGTAAACAAATGTAAAAAAAAAATTAAAGTCTTATTAATTAAGACTTATTAATTTGCTTTAATGTTTTACTCGATATAACTGCAAATACACATAGCACAGGCAGTCTAGTACTGGCACAACAATGATGAATTTTGTTTCGCTAAAAAAAAGACACGTAACCAATGAACAATTGAATTGCACCCTTTGACGCCGTATCAAACCGCGTGTTGTTTCAGACAGACCCACAAACAGATCCATACTCTTTGTGTCTCACCCTAGTTGATGACTAATGAATATCTCGAAAGAACATTTTTAAATTTACGGTTTATATAAACCTTATCGTTACTCGCCATAAGGATCAAATTGGGTTTTGCAGAGGCCATTCAAAATTGCTACTTCTCATCCCAATCAAACTTTAGAAGACCCCTGATGTTGAAAGCAGGTACCTTATTGCGGTATTTCCATGCCAACAAGGTGGAAATCCTTACAGGTCAATTTATAGTGGTTTGTTTATTTTTCGTAGTGACAGTGGGCGGTCTGTTAATTAAGAGTGCGAATGATAGGCCCTATTCATTTTTTTTAGAGGGTATTGTGGCTTGAAGGCTCCATCCATCAAACAGCTTGGGACGTGTCGAATGACTTTGTAAGATCTTTACGTGACGATGGATCATTTGTTTTAAACTGTGATTTATTAACATCGACTTTACAAAGATACAAGATATTTATAAGTTCATTTTAAGAGGATTCTTACCGAAAAAAAATTTAGATTTTTTCCTCCATCATGTTCATACAGAAACTTATCAACGTGTTAGAAATATTGAAAATTGTTGTATTGTTTATGAATTGTTTATTATCTTCATCATATCATCCGTTAACTGTCCACTGCTGAACATATGCCTCCCCATATTGGGAGTTTTGCTAGTACTTCCCGCACTTGGCAAGTAGGTCGACATCCGCAGTTAGAGTTTGGTGATGTTTAAAGACGGATATTTCTGCCCATCCCTTGACAATTAAGGACTCCTTACTCGCTTTTTACAACATCCACGATAAAGAAAGATATGGCCTACTCTATAGCGGGACACACGGCTTTTTTTATGACAAATTGTTGATTATAATTGTCAGAAATTCCAAAGTTGCCACACTTCGGAAAACTTTGATATGAGCTCTCTTAATATTATTTATTAAAAGACTACACGCGTATACTCTATTTGATAATAGCTGGGTATAATAAAAAGGATTTTCAAAACTCGTTAAATTCTTAAATTCGGTTTTTTCTACAGGCGTCAGCAGCTCACTATCAAAGTCAACTGTCAGTGTTAAGTGCGGAGAACGATCGTCTTCGCGGGCAACTGTCGGCTCTGTCGGCTGGGCTGGGCGGCGGGGAACACGAGCGACGGCTCGACGATGTCGCGCAACAAGTCGTGCGGGCCCTGCTCTCGCAGAAGGTATACCTTGTTTACTAAATTAATGGTGACCTTGATAAGGTTCGATCAAGTTCAATTTAAAATGGTATAGTTACCATGCTATTGAATTATGTTCCTGGAATTCCAACCTTATTGACTTAATCTGCTTTAGATAGTGGTTTCTGTGAATTCTGTGTTTGTCACAGGTAAATGAGGATCAGCCTCCCCTAGAAATGTTTTATTACTATTTTTAGGAGAATAAACAAGATTCTAAACGCTGCTGCCTTGTCCTGTATCGTGTATAAGATAGTGAAAACGTAAAAAGGAGAAGTTGATAGGAAGACGGTTAAGTCATTGTTTACTACAGAAATAATTTCTTATTGAAATAATGTACTTATATATCGATTTTAATACGCTACAAAAAATCTTTCAATTTTCACTTATATTAAAATGAGAATTCTCTGTTTAAAATCCAACACAAATCTACAGAGGACCGCGAAATATCTATATCTCTTAATCCGGTCGAAGCTAAGATGCATCCCGGAAATTGTTTTCTCATAATTATGGCAGCCCGTTTGCCGCGCCCTATGGATTATGTGGTGCTACATTCGCGCATAAATCCTGTGAAATGGGACACTTCGGCCTTAGCTGGCACCGTAATAATTTTACCGTATCCCTGGACCACTGTAATCTGGTATAATCTGGCCGATAACGCGACCGTTTGTGTTTAAATCCAGTCCGCCTGCGGTCGCCATGTTGTTTTAGTTTTCCCGCCAATTTGGCGAGCATAAATGGCGCCATACTTTTATTTGAATGTAAAACTATTTCAATTTCCAACGTTAATGTCATTTGTCTAGTAAGTGTCTATATAATCCAATAATTCACAATAGAATTTTGCAGGTAGCTATTAGTTGTGGTGAACATACATGTACCTATGCGTTTGTCTCACGTTTCAATTAAATTATGCCTCCGCCTATATCCACGATGTATATAATATCAAGTGTCGAAATTTGCTCTGCGAAATTACACATTAATACTCTAATAATCTTACGAACTGTCTTTTATCATCGTGTGACACCCCACGTCTGTAATTACTCCTTTAGTTGTGGCGATGACATACGCACGTGCTATAGATATTTTACGTATATTTTGTTTCTTTGAACATCAATCATATTCGCAGTGTGCCTTCTGACGCTAATTACTGACTATCTAAAGCCTTAAATAAAAATAGATAGATAGATAATTTTAACTACATTATTGTAAAAAAATCGATTTATTTTAAAAAACCAACTTTACTTTTGAGTAAAACAAAAAAATATATGTGTATCATTTATTTACTTTATTTCTCGTATCATTTTAGGAAAGTGTTCAACCAATGGAAGTAAATATTTTTATATACAAATAAATAAGAGCCCAAATACGATAGAAAGTTTTAATCCTCTTAACACTACGCATCCAACCGTCTTGTTTCATATTTGAATTGTGTATACATATTTTATTTAAAATTTAGAGAAATTCTAATTCAAACTAAAAAAAATTCGCTCATAAAAATTCAAAAATTAAATATACAAGGTACTTAAAATCTACACATAAACAAATATTTAAAAGCCAAAATATGTTTCAAATTTCAGACTAATTAATATCTATCTAGATAAATTAAAAGGATAAATTAATTGTATTTATAAAACGAATTTCGGGACTTCTTACTACCTAAAACTTGGTGAAATATTTTAATAAACATGATTCTGTCCCCACGAAATTCGGCGCAATGTCCAAAAGTTGGCAACACTGAAAGCAATGTCTTGCTATCCGCTATCCTATTCCCCACCCTACTTGTAATTACGGCCCGTCAATTACCTCACTCGAATTTAATTTAACTAATGAAGCATAATTAAAATATACGCGCCTATATTCAAGACAACTGACGAGCTATATCCAAATAGGGGAACTTTTTCGGCTGTGTTACTTCCTAATTTGAATTTCAGCGTATCCAATTTAATTGCTGAAAGTATGGCCCGAAATGAGTTTTCCACAGTTTAATGGTTCAACTGCAAATTAGTTTGTTATTCAGTTTTTTATCGAATTTAAAATAACTTATATTTCCTGAGAATATATGTTTACTTCCATTTTTTTTTTTATTGAATATATAATGGATGCTGTAACTAAAAGTCATTTTTATTTTATTTATAGCTGAGATGATACAAAAAAATAATACCTAAATACTATTTATACTTAAAAATTGCCTAATCTAATCGTCATTGGATCTCCAGACCTATATTGAAATTAAAATCAGCTGTAAAAATACAATACACAAAAATATATTGTAGGTAAAGCAATTTAAATCTATAATACATCTTTGTTTGGAACCTGTAGTACACAGCAAGAATTTCCAAATATTACGCGTGCGCTTCAATTAATTTCCTCAAAAATAATACGAAAAACTTAAATTTCTCTAATGGGCGATGAATAACATAATAACAGTCTGTTTTAAAAGTTTTATTTCAATTGCAAAATAAACAAAAATGTCTTTTTTTTAATTTACAGAGCGTACGCGAAGAGTTGGGATGCGCCCGCGCAAGGGTACGCGAGCTCGAAGCGCAAAATCGAGCGCTGAGTGCCCTCCTGGTGCGGCAGCTACGCCCGCAGCCGCGGCCCTCGCCCGCCACCCCCCTCACACCACATACACCTCACACGCCAAAAGACTTGCAAGGTAGAAATAGTCGATTATGTCTGCACATTAATAAAACACAAACATATAACAAACAATACAACAACCTAAAAAAATTTTTTTTTTTTATACAACTTAGAATGGCAAACAAGCTGACGGCCCACCTGATGGAAAGTGGTAACCATCGCCTATAGACATGAGCAGTACCATGGACATAACAGAGTATACTGTTTCGCCCATGATACCCCCCATACGTTGCCATTCCTGAGGACTCAGATGTTATTCCTCTGTACCCAGTAAATTCACGCCATATCCCACTCTTCAAAACGAAACACAGTCATTCAACTACACACACATCACATTTGCTTCACGGTAGAAACACAAATGGGACAGAGGTACTCAAGCAATCGACTTTTGTACAAAGTCTCCTTCTGAATTATATTTTATTATTTTTTTAATTATAAACCAAATAAAAGAAAATAAATAAATAAATTTATAAATAGTGTGACTATTTGCAAATTTACATTGACAGCAAAAAAATACATTATAACAAAATAAACTATTTGTAATAACTTCCGGCTACTATATAAAACAAATTGAACATATAAATAGACAATAATATTATAATTAATAATCTATAACATTTAAATTAAATTTAAATCACAATTTAAAATAAAGACATAAACATACCATATCTACACCACTATGAGTGTAGATATGTAGATATACATATGTAGATATGTGTATCCCGATAGCCACGCACTTTGGCTCAAAAAATTTCAGAATCATAGTAGATAGTGAAAAAAACCCATCAAGAATAATTCTAGAATAGTTAATTTTAAACTTTCGCGTTATTTACACATATTTTTAAATACACAATCGGGATTTAACGCGATGGAAAAGATTGTACAGGTAAATAGTACCAGCATACCTGCTTCTTTATTGTCAACGTTCTGACGTGGATTACACCACGTCGTGATCACAACCAGCCATCTAATCAAAAACCAAATAGGGCTTGTTCTACCGGTATTAATCAATTGATACAGACATTTACTTCCAAGTTCTAAATTTAAATAATTATTCATAGTGCTCTTCATGTCTATAGGCAATTACAATTTTCCAATCACATGAATCGTCAGATTATTTGCCATTATAATTTGCAGAAAGAATTCAGTTATCAATTTCTAATTCCGTTATTAATGCACGTATTTAAAATTAATTATAATAATTACATTTCAGTACACCTTGTTGACGTCGGTTCCTGCGGGTCTCTGGTCTCATTCCGGGACTCCCCACCACCAGCCCCGCCGGTGCCGCACCCACATCCGTTAAGTCAAGACGACAAGCGACGGCATCAAATCCTTGCCGATATTTGGACTGAGCTTAAGGTAAGGTACACCTAAGAATAAATTTATCTAAATTAATTAAAAATTAAATTATTTAATTAAATAAAAAAAAAAGTATATTAAACGTAAATTTCCATATTTATTAATTTAAACACCTTTATTGACCAAATAAAAAACTGTACAAAAGGCAAACCTAATGCATTCTCTACAAATCAATCTTTGAGAACGCAGTACTTTATGAATAGGAGAGCTAATTATAATCTACGTATACTTAATAATATATCTACGTATCTATTAAGTAATAAACGTAACATAATTATAATAACATAAGATATTGATTATAAAATACATATATAAGTATAAAGGAAAAATAATATAAATATATACATATCAAACGGTATTCTTTCAGGGCCTAGAAGTGACTCCAGCTAATTTAGCCCGTGCGTTGTCAGCAGTAGATCCTACTCTGTGGGCTGCTCCAGCGAGACCAGCAACACTAAGCCTCAGTATGCCACAGCCTAGCACTGATCCGGTTCGAGGTGAGTAATCGTTTAATTTTATTCTTTACTAGCTTGCCCGCAACTTCATATTCTTGGTTGTTAGAATAGACTAGTTCTTCTATACACCATCTAATATTAAGATAAAATACCAGATTTTATGTTCGGCTGTCCAAACTGATGTAGTAATGATGTTGGAACAAACATACAAAAATTCTAAATATTATTGTTTTTGCGTCTATTGCTAGAGCAATAGAATAGTTTATTAGAATTAACACCCCTCATAAATTTTTTTTTAAATGTCTCTATTTACAGAGATCGTTCAGCTTCACTTTTAGTATATTAAAAAGAGATGATATTAAACTAATTAGCTCACAAATAAATTATTGCTCCTTCCAGGCGCCAATGGCGAAAAAGTAACTGAAGAAGAAAGTGGCGAGCAGTGTGAAGCAGGTGCAGAGTCTCCAGAAAGTGGTGCGAAAGATGAAGGATACTCAACTATGTCTAGCGATGTACAAGCCGATGCTTCTAGGCAGAGTGACCACGCTGCTGATCGCGCCTTACCAGATTTAAATGAAGCGTCTGATGAAACTGATAATCAAACTATCGTCTCCATAAATCCCAGGGAATCTCGTCGACATGCCAGACTTTTAGCAACAGATGCAGATTATATTTATTTTCCAATAGGTGTAACTTTTGCGGGAGTCAGGGGCAGCTATCCCCCGTCACGTCCAGTCTTGCCGTTTCAACATGTCGTTCGAAGTTTCTCAGATTCCCATCTTTGCCTAAAACTCTTGGCAGGGACTACATGCCCCACAAGCTGTCTTGATAGTCCGTCGCCTAGCTCTGGAGTGTTAGTATTAGACCTGAAACCTGCACCCGAAAGACCACTAAGACGAGTTGCAATAGCTTCAACTACGAGTTCTGAAAGAGTTTCCTGGGGAAGTACTGTAGATGAACGAGCCGATGGTTCGCAATATGATGCGGATTATGTTCAACATTGGCTAGAATTGGATGACGCCAGATCAGCATTACAGCAGAGACATCGTGACTTAGCTGATTTAGAATATGATAGAGCAGAATTGGAAGACTGGAGCCTATCTTTGTCATGCGAAGATCTCAGAGACAGACAATCCCCATTTGCTGAAATTACTACTCCGGGACAAATATCGCTCTCAACATTACCTAGCATAAGAGAAGATGATGCTTTAGAGTTAGAAGAAGATGTAGGTGATTGCTTATGGAATGATTGTGGGTTTGCGACTATAGAAATTGATGATTGTAGAATAGGAGATGACCCCGAAACATCAGACAAACGCTGGGAGAGTACCGGAACACATTCACCGGGTGGATCTTGGTCTAGTGCTTCCGATGCACCCGATAAGAGATCAAGTACAGCGTTGAGTGAAGACGGTGACTGTGCCAATATTGGTGTAGATTTTACAAGAGATTTTTATCGTCTCGTTAAATACGAGAGCACTAAAAGTTTAGCATCAAACTCATCAAGAGGTTTGCCGGCCCAAGAGATTATACCTGTTACAAATCATTTGAGAGTTCACGATGTTCAGGCCATGGCACTTCAAGATCGTGAACAAGCCATTCAGAATGTTCTTCATTTCATTGCAGAGCAACAAAAGTATTGTCGCGACAGAGAAGAATCTGACTCAATGTCTTCACGGCCCGTATCTGAAATACGTGAATTGCCACCCCCGTATGCCGCTGCTGACTTTGACGATGACTCTGTCGGTCCCCGTAGTGAAGTATCGGAGGACAGACAAAGACCAGATTCTTTTGGTAGTTTTTCTGAGAATGACTCTTGCGATGTTTCTAATGACCGACAAAAAATTGCACCTTGTGACATTGTTTCCGAGCCAAAGTCAACTCCAAAATTTATAGAACGAGAAGAACCGTATGCGGAATCTGGAGATTACTACGATGGATTATCACGAATAGAAAACGGAGAAAACGAAATTGATGAGCATCATATTTTAAAGGTGCAAAGAAAGAATGAAATAAATAAAAGTATAGATATAGAGGAGGAGCCTGTGGCCCAAATAAAAGATGATAGGTGTGATCATGAATCTAGTCGGAACCTGGACCACAGTTCAGCATTGAAAGAAAATACAGTAAATATAAAGTTAAATATGCAAAGCCCAGTCGCCGAGAGGGTAGATGGCGGAACTTGTTTAACAAAATCATCAAGTTTCACTTTCCCAACTGGAGAAACTGAGATTTCTCTAGTAGAAGAGGTATTGAGTGCTTGCAGAAGAAGCACAGGAACTTTAGTTACTGTTCCAGAAGAAGAGGAAAGTTCATCGCCAGAAACGAGTTCACCTCAAATGACTGAATCAAATACTACAAGCACTTCTACTGCCGAAACTGTGATAGTAAGTAATAAGAATGATGCAACTCAGAAAGAAGTAAAATTTAAAAGCGAGAAAAGTCGCATACCGACCCTTCTGGGAGCTAAAAGACCTCCATCTTCGCCAAATAGAACTAGATCCAAAATACCAGTGGCAGAGAAACTCAAACCAGGAACTACTAATCCCACTCCAGTTCCTGAACCAATTATTGTGAAGCAGGATCACACACTAAGTTTCCATGAAGCTGCTACTTCTAAAGACGTCATAGAAGAACTAAATAGGTAATTTATTATTTTACTATATTAAAAAAGTAAATATATATATATTGTAACAGTATAAATTATTATATGTATAATAATAATATTTGATTTGGTTTTTAGAATGATACGTCAAAATGACACCTCTACCACGAGTGAAGTCAGGACAGAAGATAGAAAAGAAAAAACGCATACTCAAAAAGACGGCGCTTTATGGGCACCCACAGGATGGGTACATGTTGAAAAAGATATAGATTTCAGCGATCCTAAGGTAAATTACAAATTGAACCTACTCAATTTTTCTATTCTCTCCGTATTATAAAAGGAACATACAATGTAGTCCATATTTTTTACTATTGACAAAAATCTCCCATTCGTGTTTCTGCCATGAACACACGCTATGTTTGCATGATTGTGTTTCAGTTTAAAAAGAGAAACATGATAGTAAAATTACAGAGTACAGAAACATAATACCTCAGTCATAGTTTAATATTCTAAGTCTCACAAAAATCTACTAAAACGTGATTTGGACAAACATCATTCTACCGACCGAATAGGCCTCACAAATTTATGATAAAATTTATCAGCTCTCTAACAATACAAATACGAAATGGTTTTGAATTTAAATCATACTGTAATATTAACAAGTGATAGAAAAATTCAAATCGATATCCCCGTACGTTTCAGGCGCGTGCAAACCTGCTGGATGTGATGTTAGCATCAAGTGACTCGTCTCCTTCGTCCTGCGGCTCCTCCCCAGCAGAACCACCGCCACCTTACTCTAGGCTCCACCGCCTCCACAGATCTAGGAGACAGAAAACTGGTAAGTTGAACTGTTGATGTATTCAACTAAATGTGATGTAACGAAATCAATTTAGGAAGCATCCATTCATTATGCACTGCTATCTACTATAGCCTGTATATAAAGTTTAATGAATTTACAAATAAACGATTAATTAATAAGGCCATAAGACTATCTACTGATACCCAATAATAGTGCCAATCAAAAACTTATTAATTGATTTAATATTTCCATTTCTTACTATATTTTATTTCTGTGATAATTTCAACAAAACTAGATTATTTTGTCATCAAATTCTATTGAAACAAACTATACCCCTACCATCCGTTTGAACTGTTCATGCAGAAAGCCACATTACCAGATATGTCCATAAGAGTTGCATAATTTTTGCATAACTAACTAGCAATACAATGCATTCAGCAATGGACATTTATGACTGAAATGTTAATCTGTATATTGGAACCTGAGAGATGGATGCTTTTTAATAATGATACAGAAGTTTCCGTTAGATTTACTATTACTGTGTTGCACAATTTCTAGGTAATTATTTTTTGTAAGCTATTTGTACGCTATTTATTAATAGATAGGTCAAAAAATTTATCAAAACGCTTAAAAACAATTTATGTTTTGTTGTTAATTTGATGGATTATAATTTTTTGGCCTTTCTTCATATCACCCAATCAAGAAATCAAATTGTCATTCATTCTAAAGGATTTCATTTGACAAACTGTGACCTTGTGTAAATCTATAGATATTATTAAGTTAAGCTAACATAACTTTGTTGATTGGATTAGCCATAAGTTCTTGTACTAGCATATGATAATTTCATACAAAGGCTTTTGTAACTAATATTTAAGATTATTTTGATGGTGGTATGAGGGCACGAAAGATATTTGTTTCTTTATTTTGCTTGTTTTCTGTGTATTCAGCGTTAAATGTATAAAGTTGCATATACTTGCAGTAGACTGTAAGAATCAATTTTAAATGTGAACTATTCAGCGTAACGAACATTTAGTGATCCAATACCTTTTATACATGTCCCGAACATTACAATTTGAGACGCATTGTTATATCCAGACGTACCGGAAAAAGGACTGGTTGGAAAGAGTTATTTAGACAATGGTTGTGAACCCGTAATAAGAATGAATCTAATTATTGGAGTTCCATTAAGTTTACAAATTTCAAGGCAATAATAATTATTAGCAAATTTTAAACCTAATAGATACATTGAACGCTGAATTTGTCTATGTCTGTCATGTAACACCATGTCATGCCATGTTTGTCTCGTCACGTTCAGCCACGTCACTCGTTTCCGCTCTCAGTCACACGCACCATCTCGCTCTCTCGCCTCATTTCGAGTAGATGTCATGTAAACGCCGCTCCGCAGGACATGTCTCTTGTTTATTGCACTGTTCTTTATTCTTGTAAAATTTTAATATTTTGACATTTTTTTAATATTTCGACTCCCCATTTCGAAGTGATGCTAAATTAAATATTATGGGATTAACCAGGTTCTTTTTCAAATAACCAATGTGTCTAAATATTCAATAAAAGGAATATGATAATTATATTTTGAATGTAGGCGTCGATTGAATAATTAGTTGATTTTCAACTCGTGCGATTTCTAATTTCGGTGAATTTTTAGGTTTTGAGTCTACATATAAGTTGATGTCTTCAGAAAAATTGTTGAAAATCACCCATTTGTCAATATCCTAATGCAATCGTAACTATAATGCGCCAAAATCATCGCGATGACATCAAAATCCTATTGCCGAGCCTAAAATTGTTGAATGTGAGTATTTTGCTATAGTAATGCGATGCAATTAGGACGGATATCTATAGAAAACACCATTACTTGTTATTTTTTCGCCATCGCCTACATTCAAAGCTCATGTAGTTCGACTCTAACAACCTGGTGATCCCATGTAACAACCTAAGCGGAGCGGTGCGGTGGAGTTGCGCGTGAGCCGTGTGGGAAGGGCCGGGGCGGGGCGGGGCGGGGGCGCGGCTGCTCACGCTGTTCGTCTCGTCCAGAGGGCGGCGGTCGCCACTGTCGCCAGTAGTGACTAACGTGGCGTTTGCGCAGCGGCCGCTCTACGCAGCCGAGGACTCGGCGTGCTGAGGTTCCCGCGCGGTCGTCGGCCCTCCATCCTCGGCCGGGAGGGCTTCTTCGTCCGCTACGGCGACCGGGAGCGCGCCGCCGTAGCCACATTCGACTTCCTAGACGACCTCTCTGGCGGCTCCTCGCCGGAGAACACCAAAGACTGTACCTAAATTAGCAATAAACGCATCCCAAATATTATATTTTTCTATGTCACTCGTTTGTGATAGTTATGGTGAGTGGCAGTCGGAGTGCACGCGCTCCCCCGGTAGTGTTTGCTTTCGCGTAGCCCGTGTATCGACGGTGAGCCTAATAATTTATAGTGTGGCATTGTCTCGTCGATGGCTGCACGGTCCACAGGGCTGCAGCTTGCTGGAGGTGTCCCTCTTCTGAGCCTGTACACAAATTTAATGGCAAACCTCTCTATTTCTACAAACGTTAACGCTTTGTAAATAAACATGTCTAGCGTCTCATTTTCGCGGACAAGGTTGGTAGACAGATTGTTTGAAAGTTACTTTCTAAAACGTTAACGATTGTAGGTAGCAAGAGAAAAGTTAGAATCCAATGCATACTTTTCAAACTATCATGGTGTAGTTATCGTAGTCCTTTCACTTTGAAACTAATCAAACTATGACGAGGCACATAGTTATAAATCGATTTATAAAATTCTTTATAGATTTCTTTAGTAGGTGTGGGAGAAAGGGAATATACACAAATGGCATTGATGCGCTGTTTTTGTATAAATTTTACTAAGCAATGTTCAGATTTCCAAATTTACAAATAACGATAAATTGAACAAACATCCCAATGTTGTGATTTGCGCTTGAAACAATGCTAGCTTCCTACAAATGAAACAGCTTTGTAAAGCAATAGAAATAGGGTTGATTACTTCATGCGATGTCTAGCTTACGCTTCGAACCAATAACTGACAACTTAGGTAAGAAGACGAAATAACTACTGACTAAGTAAATGAAAGCTGCGGCCTCGAAGTAATGTGATATTTTTGTATATACTGTAAGTCCCACTTATTTTCATATACATTTAAATGGATTCCTTTTTAACCGAACGAAGCGTTACTGTTGGGTCTAGAACGAGTTCTGTTTCAGAGTCTGTAACATCTTTAAGTTGAGCGGTCGTGCGACAAAGTTATGTTTGCATCTCTTTCGCTCTGCATATAACGAAATAAGAAGAAACGAGAACGCATTATTTAGTCGCACGACCGCTACTTACTAATCATATACTAGGTACTTATGTAAATATTGACAATTACGAATAATTAACGAGTTAGTTACTACACTTATTAATTATAAAGAATAATGAACTATAACAATCGGTTAACATTATAGGAGATCCATTAAATCGAAGGGTACTAAACTATGTTAAGTGTATATAATAATTATGACGTCATTGAATGCTATTTATTGAATTGTATCGTTTGCGAGGTGTCGATCATTTGTGTATACTTTGGTACATATCATGAACTTCTATTATTTCTTAAGGCAACCATCCTGTATTTTTATGAAGTGACTTATGTAACAATTGAGAAATACTCGGTCCTACAGAAAACTGCTTATCTAAACAGCGTTTAAAAAAACTCTATTTAAGTAATTAAACATTGTTTATTCAGTGTAATAATGTTTATTTATATGTGTCAAAATATATAGATTATTATAAAAAAAATATATATTACTTTAAACACTTTTTATTTTTAATAACATAAACATGCTTTTGTATATTCCTAAAGAGATATTAGACGGACTTTTGTAGTAAGGCATCTAAACATGTATTAAATACATGTCTATTGCAACTTTTAACTTTTTTTGTGGTAAAACGGATTATGTTCATTCCATCATACCTCCTAATTAACAACTTGTTATTTTAAAACCTTTTTTTAAAATATGTATCATATAACTATAATGTAATACAAAATTACAAACAAGCCTTTGCATTTAAGTTATGCATATGGATATTTTATTTTAAATTCCAACTTATACATATATGTCTAATAAAACCTATCTTTAATAAAAATATATTCCACTTTATTTATACCTACAATTGGATAACACATATTTCTTTTTTGTTACATAAGTCGGAATCACAAGTAGGTATTAGGTAGAAGAGATAATGCAAGTTTAAAAATTAAATCTATATCCAGAGATATAGAGAATACCTTCTAATTCTATACTAAAGCCAATATTTTGCATGACGAGTTTTTACATACGATTGCGTTATCTTTTCACCTTATATCTACGGTCGAAGTAGCTTTTTGGATTACTTTGCAAATGTTGGTTGGACGCGGTTATAAACCTAAACGGTACATTGTAAACTTATAATGTAGTTTTATATAATGGCGGAACCAAAGCAGTTTGAACGCACGATTTTGCCTCCACTTGTTACGCTGCGACACTAATGTTTATTGCCCAAATAATTTTATTCCCAACTCTTTTTTTTTAAACTGTAATGATTGAAGACAATAAAGGAAGATTTATACTTATTATTAATGAATATAATGAAGTGACGGCACGAACGATATCTAAAATATTAAACATAGTATAAGCTAATAATAGCCATGTATTTGTCTTTTAGAAGCTGAATAGTAACTGAGAAAACACCCCTTCCTAGCCACGTTCGGATACACGCACTAGTGAATGATTTTCTTATCGTCAAAACGACAAATTATGTCCGTCCAAAACCGAATTCGTAATCTTAAGTTGAATAATGCTTCTACTACTGCAATAATTAATAAGGAGACATAATAATTTTACTGTAAAAACAACTTGTACATAGATATACATTATCCATTTCTGTTAAATTAACTATTAAAAACTGCGTTCCTTAGTTTTCCTGCCTGTCAATTACGGACTACTGTGTATCCGAGCGTGTTTTATTTTAATGAACTTTTAAAACGTTTGTATACATTTGAAAATGAATTTTTGAATAAGAAAAAACAAAACAGTGTTAATGTAATGTGGAATGTTAAAATGTAAATTTATCATAATGTGGACAGTATTTTGTTATATAGATACATACTTATTTCATCAATACAAAATCAGCATGCTATCATTTCTCGTAAAGATATTGTAAACATTGTATTAATGATTAATGATCATAGAATTCAAAGGTACTGTGATTGGTAACTACCGCTGGTTTTGGAGCACAAAAAAAAATGTCGAAAATAAAAGTTTATAAATGTATTGGGTGCATTTTGTTAGTACATTCTAACCTAAGACATAGTAATACATGAGATAGGTAGGTACTTTCAGCAGTACAAAATGTGTAGAGTAACAATATAATTATCTACTATTACAGATGGGTTCAATAAATGATTCCGTTCCCAAATTAAATTTTGTTTAATTTTTATACCCTCCCCTATCTAGACTTCAGTGTGTCATTGACATTTTTACGTATCTGTCATCCACATTAAAAATATCTTCGTCCTGGGTCTGATTCCTGGTGGAACCAATTTAGTTTAATAATTTAATAAGGTATAAATGAGTTTTTTTTTTATATATATAACACAGGGGGCAAACGAGCATGCGGCTCGCCTGATGGTAAGTGACTACCGCCACCCATAAGCACCCACAACACGAGAGACATTGCAGGTGTGCTGCCGGCTTTTTAAAAAGTTTATATTCTTGAAAGTTACGATGTCATATCGGTTCGGAAAAACTGCTGCTGAAAGTTGATATCAAAGCGTAGTTCTGCGTGGAAGAAAGTGCCTTGAAAAATTCACGGTGGAAGACCGCCACTCGTCCAGATGGTTGGGATGGAACTTTAGTTTGTGGCGGGTTGTACGGTGGTGAAAATCAGTAGCAGGTATCAATTCAAACAATTCCTCGGAATATTCCTCATGGTATATTCGACATAAGATGCGTAATTCATTATTTGTATAAAATGTATCAACAATACTAAAAAATATAGTTAAATGTGATACATCTTTATTGAATAAGATATAAATCAACTATCTACATAACATGCAATAATTAATTCTGTTTTATGTAATACTCTCCGCACAATCCACAAAAACAGGCACATATTCTTGAGATCTGAAAACGATCGAAGTAATGAAGTATTAAATTAAATCTGAAGTATTAAAATGTCTAAAAAATAGGTAAATATGTTAGTTCTAATACACACAAAAACTTTTGTTAATTTACACACGTTACGACAGCTTATTAAAACCTAAAACAAAAACAGCATACATAGATAGACGTCAGTAATCATTTTGATCACTGCTGATAACACGCCTCCACCATACCTACACTACTCTTAAAAAAGGGTCCTGAGCCAATTAGATAATTAAAAAAAAAACTGGCGGGAAACAGTTGTCAAAAATACTCTTTTCTATTTCAGTATTTTTTTTTCTCAATAGTATATTATTGTTTTATAGTTAAGTAATAAATAATAAGTCATTTGTAGTTAAAATACTATTTTTAATTGTAGTAAGTTGTTAGGAGTTTGGACCTATACAGAAGATGATAACAAACAAAAACTCTATTATAAACCGTGTATTTTCACCTAAGATTATATAGGTAGAACCTCGAGCCTCAAAAATGGATCAACTTTTTATCAGCTAATTGTCAAATTAGCTGACACGTTTTTTCATGTGTTCTATATACTTACGCATACAACGCATATTGACGTACTATTTAATACATAAAATGAGTATTTACGCATTAAAAAATGTAGAAATTATAAAACAAAATAAATATAGAAGTTATAAAAGAATCACTCATAACTATTTATCATGCAAAATTGTATGAAAAAGTTGACCCGCTTTTTTCGAAACATTTGTATGAGGACACTCTATCTATATAATATAAGATTGTAGCATGTAATTTTAGGCATTTTATTATGACCGCAATACATTTTTCGGCAATAAATATTCATAAAACAAAACCAAGACATTTAAAGTGTCCTTCGTGGAGGATAGAGGGAGCTGTACAAAAATCGTCAATATAAGCAACTTTGCCCCACTCCTGTTTCTGCCGTGAAGCAGCTATGTTCCAGTTAGAAAGATAGTAACACTATAGCCCTTGGTAATTGTAACTCATGAATAATGTAAGGGCCACAGTGTACTCTTGTCATGTCCATGGCACTATTAATGTCTGAAACGAAGGTTACTTAATCGTACAGTCCATCAGGTAGACCAAATTATACACCATCATGTCCATGGTAATAGTTAACTTGTCGTTACAAGATTCATAAAAAAAATTACAATATTTCTGTAACTATGGCACTCTTCTCGAGGTCAACTATTAGAATGTAAGATATGTGCCCGCATCATACAATCTATTCATACAAACGATAACACGAATGATAGTCTATACTTATTAACATGTATGTCTATACTTAGTAACATATATTTACTAAGATCATCGACAAAGTTCATTCGTTTGTCCATTATTTTTACTGTATACTCATAATTTTGCAGCTGAATCAATTTGGATGAAAATTGGCACAATTGCTTAATACTGAAAGCTGCATATAACAAAGCAACATGCCATTAAAAATTATTCACAAATCCGAATAAAACAAACCCATAAGTATTGCACTAACAGTAAAATTTAACATCTTTCCCAATGAACGAATGGTTAACACTAGGCTCCAAACAGCGAATTTGCCTGAAGATGTTTCGGTGAAACACGAGTCGCAAAACGTGCTTGAACAAAATGGCAGTTGGAGATTGATGGCTAGTATCGAACTTCTGGTAGTAATAGTGGTGGTCAATCTTTGAGTGTTGGCAGCCATACACATACTAATGGTAGAAGAAATAAAATAATTCTAATCAATCAGTGAACTGTGACTTCCTAGTTCAGTAAAAAATCTTTTTCAAAGAATAGAGAAAGACAAAAAACTTTTAATCTCCTATACTAAGGACAGTGCAGCTGATCTATATATTTTTACCTGTTTTTTAGGGAAAAATGTCCAGTTTTATTAGTAAAACACTCTCTAACTCGACACTTTGGTGTTGAGTGCAACATTTTTACCCATATAGTAGTAATAATGAAACACAATAAGACATGTAGAACATTTATTAAAATTTTAAATACTTAAATAATTTTGTCATGGCCGTTATTTAGACCTCAAATAAATAATTCAAAATCACAGATGTGTAGATTTACAAAACAAAAAAAAATAGTTTTCATAGCATACAATTCTAGAACAAACTTGATCGTAAAGTGAGTCAATATAATTACCGATACATCGAATACCACTAAAACAATAATTATGGCCAATTGGAAATTTATCAAAAACATTTACTATTTCAATTAGTGTTTTGATAAGATAACGACTACAATGAATATAAACGTACCAATAATTTAAGAACAATTAATTGTTCTTAATATTATAATCAAATAACCCACAATGGAATGATATAATGAGGTTCCCAACGTACATACAAGTATAGGTCGTCAACTTTGTACGCAGTATTCTATAGCAAAGCGCAGGGCGCGGGAGCAACAAGTAACGCGTTTGTGAAGTGTGAAAAATATAACGAGAGAGTAGAATACAGCCGAATGCGTGTTCTTTATTCTACCCTCCTCCCTCCGCGTTTAGTAGAAGCGACGCGTTCAAAGTTGAAAAACTATATGGTAGTTACGTTAATAACAACAAAAAATACAATACCCAATAATGGTAACCCAACAACCCAAACATTATTTTCTTTTCAGTTTTCAGCAATAGGCTAATCATAGACAAAGCTATTATTATCTCATCTGCTTTTACGACGCAATGCGGGTATTTTTACGGTTTGTGGATCCCCAATCCGAAGTCCCTTGCCCTCAGAAGTGGTACGCGTAAAGAATGAATAATATACTTATATATCAGAGATTAATAATACCCCATCAGTTCAGTTAATCCGTCAGCTTATATTATCTCCTGGTTCAAAGTTTACATTAGCTATTTTTACTTCTCTGACTCAAACTCGCATTTCTGTTTCAAAGAGAAGCAGGTAACGCTATAGAGACCGACCCTGACGAGTTCACAAAAGTGCAATCGTGTATGGGGCACGATGAAAGTAGACGTGTGCCTGAACCGAAAATTATAAAGTAGTTTAAAAATCCCAGACAAGTGTACTCTCATTATTGAACGTTAATTTGCTGTATGACTTCTTATACTATGATACTTTGTAAAGTACAGTTCGCCTTAAATATTTGGAACAAAATTACAAATAGCGAAGTTTACACAGTCGTCGTTTCAAGTTATTACATCTCTGCGTCGACACACACACCATACACCTACGATACATAATTAACGTGTTACTTAAACGGAAAGTTTTATAAATTATAAAACTCATTGCTAAATCCGCGTACGAGTCAATCAAATTTCCATAATATATGGGTGTAAATTGCCATACATTCCAACTATAGTAATTCATGTGAGGATCTAACTAATTCAGAGACAGATATGGAAAACAATAATAAAAAATGAGAAGCTGTATAAAACAAAATAAAAAAATCATTTATTCGCAGTAACAATTTCATGTTGCGTTAAAAACTGGGGATATATTTAAAATATTTGCTGCATGTTGTGACTCCAACGATTTACAACTAATAATACTCAAAATTCTACATAATAAAATTTGTGACACAAAAAATTTAGGAGTACTTTCATTCATAAATCGTCATTATGAAACGCATCTTTATATTCCTTAATATAAAAACACTATTGGAATAACGTTGCAAAATTCACGCTATAAGTTACATTGAATAACGTTATTTTCATAATTAAATTAATAACAGTAATAATTAACGCATACTTTCCCAATTAGATTTCCTTATCCAAATTCAGATCCAGTTAGGCAACCGAATACAAGCAGGTGGTCTACCATAAAATGAAATTCCGAAATTTCGGGCTCAATATCGTATTTTTGTGCGTATCAAAATCGACCCAGTAAATGGAGCTTAACATTTCGTTCATCATAAATCCTATCCTAATAGTCCAAAGGAATGATATTTTAACATTTTTAATAATTTTAAATAGCATGTATTATGTATTTTTAACATCAAATTTCTGTTTCGTTCGTCCCCGAAAATTCGGAAAATACTTCATGGTAGGCCCTCAGTTCATACAAAATAATGTGCATGGCACATATATTATATAATTATTTACGCTTTCCGAACGGAAATCTGAATTCCCGATAAAGAATCATAATCAAGAAACTGTGCGAAATCGTCCAACATAATCCAGTATGGATTAAAATTGTATAGTATACATTATCAAAGATAACTTACAATCTTATTAATTTTATCTCCAATATTCAAAGATAATGCAATTATTATCCTTTACGTAAAATTTCGTTGATGTAACTGTTACTAGAGTTTTAACTTTATTCAAAGCGCTATAAGGTTGTATACATAAAAGAATAAAACATTAAAACACCTCGTTAATTGTCTGATACTTGTTTTGCTAAAGACAGCAGCCACTCTAGACAAGTGCCAAATGAATCTATCTTCTTATATTTCTTACTATTTCTCATATGAGTACTAAAACAATGATTTACAACTAGTATTTCTTTTTTCATCTAAATAGCGTAATGCTCAATATAGACCAGCTTAGCATCCTCGAAAGAGCTGGCCACTACAACGAACCTAGGTAGGCAGGAGTTGAAGTGACAGCAGTGAAGTTAACAAGCATGTTAAAGGCCTCTTAAAGGCCAGTACAACAGAGGAAGAACGAGTTAGAATGCCGATATTCTGGATTAGTTGTAAAATATTAATCATATTATCTAGCAGCTATCGGTAAATGGAGGCAGATATTATTTCATTTGATACTCGTCGTTTCTTAATGACGGTCAATAGCAATAATATGTAAAGTCTAAAAAGTAAATACTTGACAAAATTACATTACTAGTAAGTAATTCCTAACATGACCATATTAACACTAATGTGTTACTGTAACGAGTATTTACATATTATTGCAGATGACTGTACATAATCAAAATTATGACAAAATTATTCCCGTCAAAAATCATACAAACGTTATGAGGAACAGCTCCTTAACTAGGGTAAAAAAACATCAACATAAAACATTACTGACAAAATATAAAATATACAAAAACCAATGTATAAACAGGTAGGTAAAACACCTACTAATATATTTTAAAAACGGTCAAACCGATCGTCAATCACTGAATTGATTTATTGTGGTCAGGTAACCAATAGCAACTAATGCCGATTATTTCCCATGATAAAACATAAAATATTGAATACACCAAGAACATTGGCGCTATAATGTAACAGTTGAGGAAATCAGCATTATATCTATACATTTATATATGTATTTATCACAATACGGAATACTCATGAAATTACTGTATACGTAGTACACGCGACGTGTATTATGTACATATAACCATCCATCGGACGCCTTTATAGTTAATCATAGCACGGTATGCTATCATACGATTTTATCGTCACAGTATAAAAGGTAACCAAAATATACAGTGTGAAATTGAAGTCATTAATTTCCTTGGAGAGTTAAGTTAATAAAACTGATATGACATTTCTGCCAAAGAATCGCATCGCATGGGCTATGTTTGTATAGAAGTCTCAAAATTATTTGTCGAATTTCAATCTCTTTCTTCGAAAAAATTATTCGATATCACCGGGAGCAAGACCCTTAAAAGGACCGCAGATGTATTAAATTTCACCTGTACACAAATTACATGGAGATGATAAAATAAAATTTTCGTATACACCTAAAATATCGTGATACCGTTGACGTCCACGATATAATCGCGGTAATTAAACGCATCTCTATACAACTGATGGTCTACCATGAAATGTTTTTCGAAATTTCGGAGCCAAACGAAACAGAAATTTTATGTTAAAATTACATAATACATGCCGTTTGGAAATATTAAAAATGTTAAAATATTGTTCTTTTGGACTTTCATGATAGGATGTATGACGAACGAAATGTTACGCTCCATTTATTGGTACGATTTTGATATAAACAAAAACACGAAATTGTGTCCGAAATTTCGGAATTTCATTTCATGGTAGACCCGCTGAAGACATTTTGCTGACGTGTGACGATTAAACCGTAACGATAAAATCATATCGCGTCGTACTACCATAAATTGTAAAATCACATAATGGTTATATAGTTATTATCAAACAAAAATGTACTGTTGCATCATTTTATACATAATACATAGCTACAAATATACTCTGAAGATTGACTAAAACAGAATGGCCGTGTCACAAATGCCCCAGACTTGCCAATTTCCAGCTTGAACTGGTTTTGATAAGATTCAAATGAGTTTTTGGAACCTGGCCAGTTACAATTGAGTTCAGTTCAAACGTATGTTCTTGACAATAGCAATAACCTTGATACTAAAATTATACGCCACACAACAAAAAGGAAGTATAAAAAATGTATAATATATTAAAAAAATAAAATAATAAAATTAAAAACAAATAAAAATATATAATTCTGGTATTGTATAATTCAGGAAGGATGTCTAATCTATTGTAATATCTTCAATTAATTTCAGGTCCAAATTGTAACTAAACACGTAAGAGATAATTTGTATAATCCAATACAAAATGTTATGCAAACATCGTAACAAATAATAACCAAAATTATACACGGAAATTAAAACTAATTTTGCGTGTAGAAAGTCTATTAAAACGAGCATATAGCAATCTAAATATACATAAATTATTTATCTTTCTTTAAGATTCTTAACATTTCTTAAGCTGCAAAAGAAAAATTTACATACAATCGTAACAGATTATTTTGTGATTTTTATTAAATTAAGACAATTTCAAATTATTATTATACACACACGTCATTTATACATATATAAAATTTAGATGCATAACTATTCAGTATTCAAATCCAGTTATCAGCACTCCTAAACATAATTTACAAAAAAAATATGGGATAATCTCTTCCGTTATCTATTTACATGTCCTGGGTGTAAAAATATAAAACCTAAACACATAAAATAGAAGTTGTTACCATCTTATACCTCGAATACACTACGTAGGTACTCATTAAAATGATATCAGGAATCTACATAGCTTTGCCATCAGATTCTTAAGTAAAAAGTACCTTTTAAGATCAATTTTATACTTACGATCTTATGCTACTGGTGCAAGGCAGAGCCAAATAACGATAGGTTTCGAATAATATGTGTCTGCAAGTTATTTTTCAAAGTCACAAGTAGAATTCAATTGTTCAAATACATAAAACATTCAACTCATATTTAAATTCCAAATTTCAACAATTTGATTCTTTTTTAAATTGTCATGTTCAAGGCAAAGGTCACTTTCATCAAGTGTTTTCTACTACTAAGTTTACTAACAAAAAGTTACGTGTACGAAATTCTAAAATATAAATACTTATGTACAAGTATTATTTTATAACTTAAAAAAAAAATACTTAATCGAATTAGTAATTTCCCACTGGTGAACATTATTTCATCGCATTATGCTTTAACTGCATATGTTGTTTCAAAAATATTAAAAAGAATGCAAGAGACATGAGTAAAAATATAAAGAAAAGATGCCATGTGAGGACTTGTGATATTAAAAAACGCATTGACGTAATATGTTTTTCACAATTGCGTACAATAAGCGTTTCGTTTGTACATATGTTACACAACTAGTTACATTGTTCTATACGACGATGATGGCAAATTACTTCAATTGTTGGATATATAATACATAATAATTATCATTAATATATACCGAGTCAAGATATCCGTTTACTTTAATCTCTAAACTCAACTGATTTTAATAAAATTTTACAAAATATAATTTACCTATATTGTTTGTAATGAATTCGATATGGGGTAAAACAACATTCGCCATATCAGCTATTTTACTGTAGTAAATTTTTGTTACCCATAAAATATGGCCAATAAATATTTTTCCTCTTTGTTTTCATTCAAGAAACTGGTTAGCACGCTGCCTTCTGATTTAAACACCTGGAAATTACTAGGTACTGTGACTACAACTGCCAGTGATAGGCATTAATAAGTTTGAGCAAATTTAATATTGCAAGCGTTCGTGGGCTACGGTGAACCTAACATTTTGCTTTATTACCTCGTTAGAAAAAAAATTATTGAAACACGAACAGTCCACAATCGATCGAATACAGATGTTCATACAACGAGGTAGCGATAAAACTATTGATTTTACAACAATGACAAATTAAAAATTCTTTTAAGCGCTGTTACTATTTGTTACATTGTCCATTTAGAATTTTGGATTTGACTACCACACACACACAAACACCTATATTTTTTTTCGAATTTTCATATTTAATTTAAACCGATTAACGTAAAATCATTCACCTATAAGTTACCCCACATCGGAGTTTTAAAATAATTATATTTTATTCATTATTATATAATAATAAATACATTTTAAAATGTCACACGTGTATAAGCAAATTAAAATTTAATTATAATTGTTTAAAGATTATGCAATTTGTTAACACATAAAATTTAGGTTTATCTTATCTCTTATTACTTTATACAATATTTAGCTTTGCCTTGCACTATATTATAAATTAAGCTCAACACTCACTGGATTTCAATAAATATTAAGTCTTGTGATGATCTGGAATGTTGGCGTAAATGGTATTTGAGGTTTTATATCGATTTACTATACCATATGATCACGAATCGCTAAATTAAAATGCGGTTATATTAAGATTTTTTTTTTTAATTAAATTACTCGTACTTTTCGACTTTATCATAAATATTACAAATATATACGTGTACAAGGTGTTTAAAGAGATCGAATTACACGAATCATAATAGAGATTTCTTTGTATAATCTGCCGATGTTAATATACTAGTCCGTTAATATTACGCCTTGAGCGCGAGAGATCTATTAAATTCGGCGGATTATGTAAACCTAACTCTATTATGACTCGTGTAAATGGACTACAAAGGCGAAATTGAGCTAAATTTTAATTAAATAATCTATAATATTAATGTATTATGATTAAAATTAAGTAACAGATATTCCGTTACATTTCAGCGCTCATTTCTCCTTCGTATTGACCTTTGACATTGCTTTACAAAGTGATTAATTTTGGATTCTTTTTAGACTTTTCGAATAAGTTTTTTTTTTATTTTTTATCCGAAATTAAATAATAATATTGCAATTTCTTCTTTTGTTGTATTTCTCCTTTTATTTTATATATAAAAACATGATTTTATTGAAATTGTTGTTGTTATGCGTCAAATAACCATATTTCTTTCTTTCTAATACAACTACTGTTTTTAATTGATTTTTTTTAAGTATCACCCTGTATATTTAATTATAGACCCTATATTCTCCTACATTATGACCTAAACTATAACCAATTTACGCCAACATAATTAAATAAATATCTAAATTTAACTTCCTAATCTTGGTTTCGATCCGCCTGATGTACACTGTCCGGTCTTCACGTTGACTTTTTTATTAGAGTCCTTCATTTCTTTCCCGCCAAATATATTTTGCTTCGGCTCCGACTCTTTATTTGCACTGTGTAAAAAAATATCAGTCTGTATTTTTCTGTCAATTAAAATTGTACAATGCAAAATCATGCTGATAAGCGTAGTATATACAGATAGACAGGAAGCGAATTTGAAAATGGAAACACGTATAAACAATACGACCTCCACATATATCACAATAATTAATGTTGATCCCCATTGATCTCCTTAATTTTCTTCCCGCCAAATTTTCGATTAACATATTGTTCATGCAATATTTATCTACACTATTTAGAGAGATACAAATTTGTAATATTTTTACTATGAAATAGGATTTCGCCATGCAACATCATGCTGTTATATGCAATATAGAAGCACAGAGTACTTATGTACAGAATGTGTAGTAACCTTTTCATGCAGCGACTAATCTGGAGAGTGATAACCACAACATGAATAAACAAGTACATTTTTGTTCCACAGATTAAAAAACACGACTGCCCTATTAAAAACTAAATAATCGTATTTAAAAAAAATACAATCAATGTCACTTGGGTCATAATATAAGGATAGTAACAATATCTTTTACATCCAAATTAATTAGGTATATAGAAATAATATTCATTTCTTCATATACATTACATTTCTTTTAAGCAACCGAGTTATAAGTAGCACCTGATAGTGCTCAGCAAGGCTCAGGTAAATCTATGAAATAATAATGTAAATAATTATTCGCATTATTGAAAAGGGTGAACGATAAATGAAAAAAAATAGAGAATAGAATAGTCAAAATGCTGGGCCACCTTATACGACATGACGATTTCTTAAAGAGCATAGTAGAAGGAAAAATAGTGGGCAAAAAACATGGGACATATAGAAGAAACACTAGGTGTCATGTCGTATAGGGAGGTCATGGATATAGGCTGGCTGGAATAAGGTGCATGAATTAGTTGCACTGACAAGAAGAAACACCTTAATAAAAAGTAAAAAAGAGAAATGTCTACAGGCAACGCGGTTACCACTTTCTAGATTGACCACAGGCCAATGCTTGCTTTCTACAGCAGAAATATAGACAGACAATAAGAAAAATTAAAAGTGAAATAAATAATGTCCTCTAAATTTAATAGGACTGATTCTGAGATAACATTTTTTTAAACTTATGTTTTAAATTAATTTTAATTGTAATAATTATGGGTGATTATTATTTTATGGACTATCAGAAACTAAATTTATAATAATTGAACTTAAATCTAGGCATTGGTAATATGGATACCGTTCCAATATCTATATGTTGGGTTCCTCTGTACACAGATGGCGGTAAAAAGGTCATCGTCCGTTTCAATATCGCCCATATAGTCGGATATCAATTTTCGAATATGTTAAAAGTCTGTTATTTGAATAACAGACTTTTAACATATTCGTTATTGGACCAATATATATTGTAAATAAAATATATAGATATTACAATAGTTGTGACCATTTTGTATTACTGTGGCACATGCATGAGGGAAAAAAATTTTTACTAATTTTATGCATTCTGATTTTGTTTTTTTTTTTATTTTTTGTACATGTATCTTTATCTTTTTTCACTTTGCATTTGTGTCTGTTGCTGTGTCTGTGCTGTAAGTGATGCAAATAAAATATCTATCTATCTATTACCCATCCCTACTTAAATCTATTCAAAATGCAATACATATTGGTCCATAGCATAAAGATTTGACAGTAATATTAAATAGAAATTTTAATTTTAAAGACAGGATTAGAGAAATGGTGTCTTAGATCCGACCACAATATCACTATCATAAATGTTGATTCTTGTTGATCCTAAACGTCTTACTTCTTAATAATAAAATTTTAACTAGGCGACCTGTGTACATGGGAGATATTTAAGAAAATTAATATGAAGGGTCTTAATAAGACTAATAGATGCTAAAACAGTAATTTTTAGAAATTTTGTCTATCTATATATTTATTTTGACATTACCAAATTAAGTTTACATTTGAGACGCCATCTAGAAGTCATTTATTTCATTGGTGTTCCTAGTTCGGAAAGCTATGCGTACAAAGTAGCGTGCAGAAAGCTATTACATGCTAATTTCAAATTTACACAAAGTTATATGGTGGGATATACTTTTTCGACATAAAAAAGTATTTACTCTGCAGAATCTAGTAGTTTGACAACAAGTCTTCAAAATCCGCCTTTAACGTGCGAAGCATATACAGGAAAAAAAACTTAAAAAAAATTTATGCAGGCAAATTTTTTATGTAGGCATTATTTTTATCCTATTAAAGTGTTATCTTTAATATTAAAAAAATACATTGATAAAAGTAATTAAAAAGGGGCGTTAATATATAGATGAAACTGTAACCGACTCTATCTATGGGCATGTGCACTTATCCTAAACACCTGCATAGTATTTTAAAAAAAATATTATGATAATTACTGAATTGTTTACTACGAATTGTGTATTTATTATTAGATCACATAAGCTTTCTTTCTTTTTGACGCAAAAACTTTTTGATACACGGATAGAGCATAAGGTACTTTATGCACCTACTAATTCATGCGATCGAAGCCGAAATATATAACTAGTGCATTAATAATTAGGATATGATAATTAGGAGAAAGAGCTAATAAATAGTTTTTTTTTTTTCAAGTTATATTTATATAGGTACATTATTTTTTCTACATGTGACCGTCACATTTTGGAAATTTTCAACATAGTTTGTGACTTGAAATAGTTTACGAAACCTTAATTTATACCTGAAAATATGTTATAAAAATTCTTGATTGTCAAATCTAATATTTACTATTAATGACGTCACGATTTTATATTGCTGCGAAAAACATCCCATACTATGAACCAATTTTAATGTTTCATTCTTTAATAAAAAAAACATTGGTCATACAAAATTATAGGGTTAAATTCGAATAATTCCAAATTACTTATTTAGAAGTCGCCTGAACTAAGTCATAAGTAAATAAGGCGAAGATTTACTTAACATTACACATCTTGTTACTTTGTTAATTGTTATAATATCACACTTGTAAATAAACGTAAATGCATATGAGTAAGTCACTGATAGATAACACAATCAAGAGCAAATAAATATACACTTTAATACTTAGAATTCAATTAATTCATAGGCACATTTGCTCTATTATATCTTTGGTTAGATAAGGAAAGAATACGACATGACAACATTTAGAAGGCATTTATACTTTATACTAGATAATTCTGTTTATGTTTTCTTGGATATAAAGTTTTTTTTTTTTTTTTTAATGGATGATAATGGAATGATCACCCTGTTTGCGCCAACGGTATACGCTACCGGGGCTCCTGAGGGATAACAGGTGAGAATGAAAAGGCAAGTCAATTAGCTCATATTGATGAATACACCTGGAATTCAGCACGATGGTTTCCAAGGGGGACCACGTGGAGGTCAACCTGACAAGGTATTTTGCTAGCAATGGCACTAGTAGCCTGCATTACTAACTCTCTGCAATGCATTTGAGGCCGTCACTCCATCTAATGGAGGATCATCCTTAACTGCGTACGCTCGTACAGGGGAAAGGGATTGTTAGTAATGGAGACTGAGAATCCCAGTGCTAGCAATATACCCAACCAGGTCGATCTCCTCGCGGTTCCATCTGGAAACTATCATGGTTAATTCCTGATGAATTCATCATGATGGGCTAACTGATCTGGTGCTCCGCCAGCGTATTTCGTTAGCGCAGGCGGGGTTATTATTCCATTTTCACCCATCAAAAAAAAGTCCTCTCCATAGCTCGCTGAGTAATTTGAAGCTTCCTCATAAGGGCAACCGTGTAGGACTATATATTGGTTCCAAAGGTTCGTCTTCAAACGTTGAGGTATTTTGGATGAGACGAAATGTAATAGTTTTCCGATTATATAATATAAATTATAGAATCCGAAACGAGGATACCGCAAAAGAACCAAAATAACCGACATAGCCCGAAGGATAAACAAGCTGAAGTAGCAATGGGCTAGTCACATAGCTCGATGAACCGACAACCGATGGGGAAAAAAGAGAAAAAAGGTGACTGCGTACGGGTAAACGCAGTGTAGGACAACAAGATGGAGTGACGATCTGACATACAATGCAGGAGTCAGTCAGAGCAGTGGATGCAGATGGCTCAGGACCGTTCTTTATGGCAATCTAGGGGGGAAGCTTATGTCCAGCAGTGGACGGATAATGGCTGAAATAACCGAATGAATGAATAATAATAATAATAAACAGATATTAATATTATTATTAGCGCAAAAATTACTAAAAATATGCAAACACATAACACAGAGTTGGCACGGAAAATCCATAAGGAAAATGTTTCAATTCATTAGCAATTTTAAATACATTTTGGCTGCGATTTTAGCGTATTATTATCGTACCGGTGACATACACGATTACGTCTTTATCCCACACAGTTCACGTGCTAATTATTTTTAATGGAAATTAATAGCTATATAAAAGCAACTATTATTTCTAACCAGCCAGTAATGTTTGTTGTCAAACATGCCAAAGAGTTCCAAATTTTTAAATATAATGCTAACAAGCACACCAAATATATTTTTCGTGGCAGAAAAAAAAACAACTGTGTCAATAACGTATAAATTAAATTGTAAATATTTGAATTTAGAACACGGTATAATGTGATAACGATAACTTTTGCTTCGCAGCTTCACTCCGCAAAGAAAAACAGCAACTTTAATCATCACAAAAGTAAAAACAAACAAACCGCATCGATTACTAAAATAATTATAGAAGTTTATCCTTATTCTATTAGTATATCCTACGGTTTTTTTTTTTTTCTTTTTTATTAGTAACTGATTGGAGGGACGAAGTAAAATACTACTTAAATTAATTTTTTTTTAGTAATGAAAAGAGATGGTCTGGACTAGTAAAATAAGGAACCTATAATAAGAAGCATCTGTTTCTATCCCAATACAAAAACAGTTCAACTAACCTATTCAAAAATAACAACGCTATATCGAAACACTGATACAACATAGAAGACTGTACTAGAGCAGATAGAACAACTGCTGTCTCTTTCTAACACAAGTTAACTCCATTAGCTAGATACGAGAAGAGAATGTTTTAGGTAGAGAACATGTCTAACATGAAATGAAAATCCAAGTTTTCAGGCTCAATTTCTTGTTTTCGTTCATACCGAAATCGGCCCAGTGAATGAAGTATAACATTATGTTTTTCATGAATCCTACCATAAAAGTCAAAAAGAATAATATTTTAACATTTTTAATATTTTCAAATGGTATGTATTATGTAATTTAAAAATCAATTTTGTGATTCGTTCGACACTGAAATTTCGAAAAACATTTCATGGTAGACCCTCAGTTGCTATCTGTATCTGACACAGGTTAACACCATATGCTAGATACGAAAAGAGCATATTCCGTGTTTTAACTAAACACGTCCTAACTGGACGATGCGGTCGTTTGTGAATTGCGGTCGGTTCTCCCTGGAAACTATCATGGTTCATTCCTGATGAATTCATCATGATGGGCTAACTAGCCTGTTTTCATTCTCATATATTACCCTTCACTGGTGCTCCGCCAGCGTATCCCGTTAGCACAGGCGGGGTTACCATACCATTTTCACCCATAAAAAAAAACACTTATTACGGTTTCATTGGCACAATTCCGAATTGTTATTTCTTAAAACCTGTTATATTTGACTGTTATGTTGACACGCCTCATCTCTAAAAGTGAGGCAATTTCCGAACAATCCTGAGTAAATAATACAAAATACAGGTACAAATAATATTGCATCATGCTGATGCTCTCGTCAGTCGCGGGAGGCTGACTCACGTCACACTCGCCGCCCACTCATCACAACCACGTACGTGCCACAAAAAACGTACTTCGTCTATTGACTACCTTACTTGTCCTTTGCTGTTTTAACAAACGTTGTCATAGTAATTAAAGATTGTATCCCACAAAAAAAACGATTTCAATTGTGATAAAATCAATTTTAATCTAAAAACTAATCCGATTTTGATAAAATTTTATGCGAACAATCACTAAGTATATCCTTTGATATAAAAAAAAGAATTTTCCAAATTTATTTAGAATTGACAGAGGTATGAGGTAATAAACATAAATAAAATTTAAAATCGAATTTAGAATCTTTCTTTTTGAAGTCGGTCGGTAAAAACCTATGGGTTTATTTTCTGTAACGGTCATTATTAATTTTACTCTTATTGTTACTTTTTAACACCGCAAGAGCCTGACTCACGTGCAACATTTCCCCAATCAAGTCAACCACGTACGTGCCACAACAAACGTACTCCGTGTAATAATTGTAACTTTCCTGCCTGTTATTTCTTGTTATTGGGAGAGGTGATTATAGTAAAGGGGACAAAAGTCCCCACTGCTAATTAACAATACACCTTATCAAATCAATATTCCCGCAGTCCCCCTGAAAATCGTCATGGTTAAATCTTAGAATTCATCTCGGTTGGCCACCTAACCTTTCGAGAGAACTCAACTACTATTCCATTATAGAAAATGTTAAACTTAACATGCGTACATTTTGCCGAGCATAAAAAAACCAATTCGACAAAGAACAATCCTACTTTCGTCACTGAAATAAAATTACAAATAATAATTATAAATTTGACAAATAATAACACTTGGTAGATTCTATTTTAATAAAAAGTTCATCGTGGAAAAATAATACTTATCAATCACGTATTTCCACTCGGTAATTCTTAGTACACAGTAGTAGTAGTTACACAAATTACCTAGTTACATACATATATTTTATTATCTAATTCTGTAACCTACTAATTTTACTATAACTATAAACGCGAAAGTTTATGAGGAGATATAATAATAATAATAAAGTAATTTATTTTCTTCACAATACCAGTAGTACATCTTATTATTATCAATGTAAGTTAATACAAGAGATTTATTTTTGAAGGTTACATAAGTTTTTTTTTCTGATGGGTGAAAATAGTATGGTAACCCCGCCTGCGCTAACGGGATACGCTACCGGAGCACCAGTAAAGGGTGATAGATGAGAATGAAAACAGGCCAGTTAGTCCATCATAATGAATTCATCAGGAATTAACCATGATAATTTCCAGGGAAAACCGCGAGGAGGTCGACCTGGTTGGGTATATTGCTAGCAATGGGATTCTCAGTCTCCATTACTAACAATCCCTTTCCCCCCTAAGCTAATGTATTGTGAAGATAACTGGTGTCTGAAATTGGATAAACCTATGTTACAAATCACCAGGTCCTCACTCCGCGGTGTTGGCACTATTATACAATTTGCTCTGAATGGATGTTTATTTTTTTTTTCACGCAAAAACTATCAAATGAATTTGAATGAAATTTAGTACTTCATACACGGGCAAAGTTGCAAAAACCAGCGAATTTAACACATACATAAAATTTTAAGATTCACAATTTTTAGAATAAAAGACAGCAATATCAATCATGACAGAATTAATATGAAATTAACACGTGAGCGAACTATGTATATTGGTTATAAAAAGAATTATAAAAATTGGGTTATAAATTTACGAGTTAACCACGACAGCTTTCAGTGCGACCATGAGGAGTGTGACAAAGGAGCCACTAGACTCCATTACAAACAGTTGTATTTAAATATCTTATGCTCCTTTACATATATATTAACTCTTTGATTGATATTAAGGATGTTTAGCCTGTGTTTTTAAATTTATTAATTATCTACATTGTAATTCAATTTTTGTTAATTATATGTGGTAGCTACTAATTAGCTCATTATTGTCATGTATAGTTAATTATTAAGTTATTACAGCTGTAAGCTTCCTTTAAAATTAATAAATAAATAAATAATAAACTTTATATGAGACAGATAATGTTGTAAACAATGCAGCAATGTAAAGGTTAAACAAAAATTTTGTAATAAACCAACAAAACATTTTTCTCCTCTAAAGAATAATTCATATGTGGTACTGGCCATTTAGAGATTTAAACTAATATTCATATTGTTATGAAGAAAAATAAACAGATAATATAAGTGCACAATAAAATATACCTTAGTGTTATGAGAATAGGGAATAGAATAGTTTCTCCTAATAATATAATAATCTTGTATGGTTAGAGAGACCATATAAAACAATTGCACCTACAAACTCGCTTCACCCACTTGTTGTAATATAAATAGTCCTTTAGTTTTAAGGCAACTAGCTACTATCTATCTCTTTTTTTTTTCATATTAACATCTACCACAGCAGGGCTGTTTTTATATCTATCTAACATACAATATTTTATTCATCAAATTAGAATGGACACCATATACTAAAATATTATTTCTCTCCTAATATGTGACCAAGTGTGAGTGCTCCTAATACTAATTATACTAATTTAATTGTATTTAACTAGTTATTAGTTAATAAATTAAAGCAACATCCAAAGCAGTGTACATGCACCTCATACCAAGACAGAATATTCAAATCTTACCTGAGCATTATCCTGAAGTTCTCCAATTCCCTTATACTATTTGATAGTCTAGCGAATGCATTAAACAATGCCACTATCTCAGTTCTTTGCAATCGTTGCGATTTGTGCCTCAGTGGCAGCTTGCCTTGCTCTGGATCCCCATCAGAACTGTCCCATCTACCCGAAAATAAAATCTTGAGGGCTGTTCCTAGACCTTGAGTTTGCAGCTTACCCCAAAGTTTACATTTATCACATCCAACACAGTCCATTATTCTTGATATATTCCAAAAATGTTCACGGAACTCATTTTTAAGTGTTGCTGCTTGACTACCTCCGTTGAACATTGATGACTCATTGAAATGATCTGGGAAGGTGTAAATGACCCCGAGCATATTACGTATTGCATGCCGGGTCTCTTCATCCTCTATAGGATTACCAGTAAAATACTCCTCCCTCTCTAAATAGGGTCCGGCTTTTGCTAGAGCTCTCATTTCTAATAAATATACAAAATACAGATTTTTAAGCCAATTTGGACCTTCCCCAAATGTCTGAGATGGGTCAAAACGACGCTGAAACTCTTCCAAATTCGGTCCCCACTCTCCCTCAGGTGGTGCAGCAAATCCAACTGTCTTTTCTGACAGCAAATATTTAGAACATAAATGAATATTAATGCTTGTATGCAAACCTGACACAGCCCTGTAGAAAACTCTCTTCTCTAAACACATATTGCTTAAATCTGAACTCAAAACATAAGGGAATGACTCATAAGGGTTCAATTTAGGACGAAAGCAATTTTCCTGGTATATGCTCCGCCAGATTCTGTGCGCTGATGACCCTTTATAGCCAGTGTAACGTTCGGGGTTCAAAGATAAATCAACATATTCAGCATCAACATTTCTGTCATCATTTTCACAAAAATTTTCAAGAGCATCATCATATGCTTTCCACTTTGCAATTTCATATTGACTAGCTGCACTTATAGTCATATTAAGGTAACTCAAATCAGGATCATGATCAGCATCAGAGCCACATTCGGACTGAGCTTCCTTGGTGTACTTTGTGGCTGGAGTCTCGTCGATATGGTCATTATCATAACCATTCGCGTATCCAGGCACACTTTCTTTAGAACATTTTTTTATATGACAGTATTTCATAGCGCACCTACTGTCATCCGCCCAAAATGGGCATTCCTTCTTTAAATTTACTTTGTAGAAACGGAAATAATCCTTACTCACTAAGCTCTGGATGCGAGGAAAGATCTTTACATTGTTGAAGTAGTCAATCGTGTCGACACTGCAAGAACAGTCGCCTAGGGCTCCGTGAAGCGCTTCGAAGCATACATTACTGTTGCAAGGCTTCCATTCATACAGCTCTGTGTCGTAACCGACCGCCTGAACTATCGCAAGAGCGAAAATTATAAACACAACACAATATTTCTTATAAGCCATTTCAGTAGCATCTGTGCGCATCGCATTTAGTATTTATCGGATAAAGTTTGTAATTCGTAAAGTCCACACACTGCACATTTAGAATATACTATAGTATCGACGGTTGTCAACGAAGTGAAAGTATTTTTTATCACACGAATACGAACAAGTTATAGGTAATAAAACGACGTACTAAAACAAACGTACATACTATAATACAATCCATTCCGTCTGGTTTTTTTTTTTTTTTTTTTAGTACGTTTGTTCCGTTTGGAACAGGCTAAGGTCGGAGACCATGCTGCCTAGTCTTCAAAAAGATAAATTGTCTGGAATAACCATTCCGTCTGGTCCGCTGACTGTCAAAAATGACATTTGTCAGTAGTCCTGTCAAAGGTCAGTTTTGTAAGACCGCAGCTAAGATCCTTAATCTATGGTTCAGTCCATCAATCATAGGTAGATAAAGTCATAAATGTTGCAATATCGGAGCCTTAAATAAATCACTTTTAATAGTGTTATCTACAATATTTTATACACACACACACATATATATATATATATATATATATATATATATATATATATATATATATATATATATATATATATATATATATATATATATATATATATATATATATATATATATATATAATATATAATTCTCGTGTCGCGGTGTTTGTCACCAAACTCCTTCGAAACGGCTTTACCGATTTTTATGAAATTTTGTGTGAATATTGGGTAGGTCTGAGAATCGACCAACATCTATTTTTCATGCCCCTCAATGATACAGGTGACCCACCCCTAAATAACTTTTTTTTATTTTTTCCACAAAAAAAATTATTTTTATTTTATTATGATTTAGCATTGAAAAATACATACAAATTCAAAGCTTTTACGATCAACTGTTCCCTGTTTTTAATCGCAATTTTTATATGCCGCAATAGGTTGCAAATTAACAATCGAATATAATAATTGTAGTAGGACACAGTTTTATGTATAGTTCTCGAAATAATGTATATGGTAAAACAACGTTTACCGAGTCAACTAGTCTAATATATAAAATTCTCGTGTCGCTGTGTTTGTTACCAAACTCCTCCGAAACGGTTAGACCGATTTTTATAAATTTTGTATGCATATTGGGTAGAATTTTTATGTTTTAAGTTTCGTAAGTATACATTTTTTATGCAACTTAAAATAGTAAACAAACTGACGTAACTTATCAATACAAACTGATCAGAACTCTAAAAAATTGTCTGATATGTATATTAAATTTAAGAGTAGGCTCGCTGATGGAAAGTGGTAACGGTCGCCTTTAAACATAAATAGTAGCATGGACATAAGAGACTACATTGTATCTTGAGTATATGTAATTGCTTGTATTCTGACACAAAATGTGCCTGTTCCACATTGTACCTACTGTGTTCCAATGAAATGCATGGTTTTTATAAGGGATTTTAGAATTATTTATATATTCTAGTTTGGTAGTTAGCCACTTTGTAACTTATTATGAGTTTAACCCTCCTGGAAAGATGGCAAATGTATCGATAGATACGTTTGCGTTATCACGCACAGATTTGATAACAAGACGCCAGACGTTACTGTGTCATCCGGGAGAAAAGGATTGTTAGTAATGAGATCTAACAGGCCCATTACTAGCAATATACCCTAACAGGTCGACCTCCACGCGGTTTTCCTTAGAAACTATCGTTGTTAATTTTTGACGAGTTCATTACAATGGGCCGACTGACCTGCTTCTTCCTCACTGATCATCTCACACTGGTGCTCTGCCAGCGTATAACGATAGCGTAAGCGGGGTTACCATTTTCATCCATTACAAAAAACTGTGGTATCCTATTTCATATACAAGGCAGCGACGTCTATCAATAAATCTATCTACCTATCTATCAATAAATTCTTTACCACTTGTCTAAATGGCTGGCGATATGATGCAAAAATGAAAATCGTTGCTTCTCAATTTTCCCTGTCCAACCTGCAGCGACCTAACATGAACATAAAAATAACAACTTATATACACTAAAATAAAACAATTATATATAGAAAATGTTTTATTCGATATAATATAATAAACCATTCACATATGAAGCAATTCAGTTGAAAATGCAGAGATTCAAAATCATGAGATAGACATTTGTTCCCCATAAATATATGCTAAATCGTTTACTGATTACTATTTACATAATATATGAGAAACACTTAATAAATCACATATAGAAATGCACTACAATATTAATAGTTCAATATAATTTGTAAAATGGACGTATAATAGTCATACAACATTCGATTTATGAAAATACTTTAGACTTCTGTTTTGTAACATTAAGTATAAACATTCCTTAACTAACTTAACATTATTTAGAAAAAAAAAATTAAACTTTTTTTTTTATTAATAAATTGTAACAAAGGTGTGAATTGGGTACTACCTATCTAGATTGATTTGAAAATTATAATAACGCTAATAGTTTATTAAATAATTAATTACATAAAAATTATGGTCTTTTGCCATCCAAAGATCGTATCACCGTTGAATTGATACGAGTGGATAAATATGATGGGAAATATCGATCATCAATTGTGACCACTAAAAAGGCACGTTTAATTTGCGTTTAATCGAATCGTCAATTTTCGTTATTGGATCTCGTTTGTGATGATAAGGGAATATGAAACTTAATTACATACTATGTACAACAATTTTTTGTTGACACAATAAATCTTTACGTATAATTCTAAATATTAAAAACATTTGGACAGATTATGTAAATTAATGGAAAACAATAAGTCCAAACAGTACGTCGACGCCTATAGAATAATAAAAATATGAAGAATAAAAACATACATTGCGTTCACAAAAACAGCAATCGTTATGAAAAATCGCACATTTATTTGTGTACCATAGCACGCGTACCAAGGCGACCTAAATACTCTAAACACCAGAGGGCGCCACCCTCACGCGAGTATTAGCACGCTTTTATGAGAATAGCCAGGATTTGTCTCAAAACAAATAATCGAACTTTAGAAAAACATAGTTATAAAGGAAGAATTTCTGTATGGTCAATTACTAAATAGACGTTAATCTATTTAGGTACCTATCTATTTAAACAAAACGCAAAATAAACCTACTTAGGTACATTCAGTCGTGGTGTAATGTATGGGATTGTGGATGGCTATAAATCACACCTTATACTGGCTACGCTCATGTGCGCATGTTATACATTTTTAATATACAGTATAAGTATAATTAATATTATACACTAAAATCTTAACTATACTTACATGTAAAGTATACATGAAAAATACGTTTCCAAATTAATAATGTACAAGAATAATAGAATTTAAAATTGAATTTCCGGCATATTAAATGGTACGAAACATTATTAATAAAAAGCTACAATCATTTTATTTTTATTATTTTTAGATGTACACTTTCTTGTATTGGCACTTTACGGTATAACGGATTCACAAACATTTTCGTGAATGTACAATATTCCATAGTGAATAACTAGTTTAATTTCATCAATGAACATATTTTTTTTACGAACATAGCAAAAATTTAAATTTAGAAAATTTTTACTTACATTTCTATCATATTCTAATTTTAAATTTTTGTAAACATAACTTTTGAATTCTATTTTTAAATCATATTAGTTTTTATTAAAACTTAATTTCAAAAGGTGGGGTCGGCACAGAAATGAAATTTCTGTTATCTCGTTACTTGACAGGCTATAAGAAAATATTGTACGTAAATAGATATCTTCGTTTGTAAACTTAGTTCATTCGAGTGTTGGTCGTATAGGCGTCAATTTAGGCGTACCTGAAAATAGTAATTATTAAATCAATATTATGCTATATTTACGTTTATTTATAATACAAAAATACAATCCCTATACTGGTACCATATAAAAATAATCACAGCCAAAATAAAAATAAAAAGTCACAAAACAAATAAACCCATAAAATTATTATTTACAATTGACATGCATCAATTAACAGTTAAGTACTTGTAAACTTCAGTAACTTTACAAAAATAATGAGGTTAAATGAAATAATTATAATGATTAATTAAACAAAAAAAATATTTTGGAACTAAATAGTGATTACTTACTGAATAACTGAAATTTTATACTCATAAATGAAGTACTTTTACTATAAGTTAATATAACTTATTAAAAAAAAATTTAAATACGCACCTATTAATTATAAATATACAAATAAAAAATAATACTTTTACTAGGAACTCTAATGTTATACCACGGAGTTTCTTTATGTGCGATAAAATTTTAATTAGTTTCATGAAACCATAGACGTAATATAACTTACTCAAATCAAACAGACTTGATCTCATGTATTAATCGATATGGTTGCTCCTTAAAATAAGTAGGTTATATTGTTTTCAAACGAAGACTTATTCTTTCATTATATCTTGAGTACGAATAAGTAAAACCTACTTATATCATTAATAAACATATTATTATATATATTTTTAATTTAAAGAATTTTCAACAACAATCATAGACAACTCTATCGGTCATTAGATTTTAGCGCCAAATTCGTTTTGGTGTATTATGGATTGACTAGTTATTTCAACCGTAGGCGGTAGGTTATCTTCGAAACTCAACTAGTTTGATAGAACTGTAAATAATAAGTATAATTCAATACCTATTGAATAAAAAAATACTTACTTGCTTCATTAACAAAAACATAATTAACTAAGGCAATGATTAGTACTTCGTACTTATTTTCTTTTGTCTATGGTGTAGTTTTTACTATTAATATTAGCACAGAATATCTGGGTACACGTATTAGTTCCGCAGTTTTGAGGATTATGTGCACATAATTTGTACCTGATAGTAACATATCCTTAAAAGTATCAATATAAAAAAAAATACCGTAGTGATAAAATTAATATGGGATCACATGGGTGTAATCCTTGTCTATTGCAAAAATAATTAGTAACAGTCAGAAAAAAATGTACAAAGGATTTTAGAAACCCTTTTTTTAAGTATTTTATAAAAGTTACCCAATAATAGGGTAAATTATGTTAGTTATTAGTACTACAGTTTTTTTTTACAAGTCAACATTCATGCCATGCATAGTTCGTGAGAAGTGCAGTTTTAATGTTAGTGCAATTATTCTTTACTATATCTATTTCATTATTTACTAGTGCATTATTTACATTTCACTCATTGTATCCATTTATAGAGTAAACAAAAAACTAAAATGTTTAAAAAGTTACAACGCCTGGGCGAATAAAATGCTAACGGGGTGAATGTGTAGAGTGAAGAAAACAACATTTTTATACACATATTTATTGGATACAAATTAACTGAGGTTTATAAATCATCGACATATAGTGCCTTGTACTTTAATGAGCGTAGTTGTTTATTTGGCACACGAAAATATTAAATTATTTCCAACATTAATTACTTCACAAAATCAGAGTTCACAAATTAATCACACGTTGTGCAAAAAGCAATCATTTTAGCACAAAATACTTTATTTTTATGTGGATGTCAATATTACACGAGTATAGTTCTATATAAAACATTTATAAAATATAATCAGATCAATAAATAGACTTATATATTCTACCAAATTATACTCACAAGTTACATATTTATCACAATAGCAAAAAGAGATTGGTATATAAAATATATTTTGAAAAATAGTCGTGACTATTATGGTGCATTAAGCACGAGATTCTGTGATGGTATTCGATGTTTAAATTCAATATTTCATAGACCTAAACATTATAATATGCAGATAACTCGGCATTACAATTAAGATCTACATCACGCGACATAAATAAGCCACAACTATTAATATATAAATAGGTATACGTAATTATGTCGCTCTTAGAGATTCTATAATATATTAAAATGTTATTACACCGATTTATTATTACAACTAACACGCAGAACACACATCTATTTCGTTTATTAAGGCGTATTTATTGTATAATATATAATTTATATAAAATTGTGGCAATGTAGAACATTTTGTTATTTTGTTCTAATTTTAAATTATTTACCATATCTATTGACAATTATTGCCATTTGAATTAATTATTAAATTCTTAATTTGGACAGAAACTTCTGAATACAAAAATATGAATCAACAATTCTCAAGTATCGTTAACGTTATCAAATCCTTTTGCAAAATCACTCGTAAAAACTAACCCGTTCTTTATAAAAATAAAAAATACAAAATGTGTTTCAGCTATTGAAGTGTTTTCTCTTTTTAAGGCAACTTCTTAATATATATATAAAAAAAAGAGACAAAACACATCAATAATTAATAGTTTTTACAAATTAGATGGCAACACTATCAAACTACCACTTTGTATGACAGATCACTTTGTTAATTTCGCACAAGTTGTTAGTGAAGCATTAAATTCCCAACAAGGATCAGTCGTAAAGAATCTGTGAATTTCAGGCGAATAGATCTTATACAACTAATCTTCTGAAAGCAAATTTAATTTAATTTATTAATATTTATTAAATATAAGACATTTAAAGGGCTTCCAAGCTAAGAATTGTAACACCGCAACTCCCTTTCAAAATTAAATGAGCTCATACTGTGAATTTTCCGAGAGTGTTTTTCGTATTTTCTCTAATCTGTTATCTTGGCAGAAACAAAAATTACTAGGAATATTGGAGTCAGTATTTTGCACAACTATTTGCGCAATGTGTAGTCATCTTTATAAATTATTTACATTTTATAGAGTTATAAAAAAAAGGGGCTATAAAAATTAGCTGTATAGATACGCCCTGAATAAGGGTCGTAACCACGTAACAATTCTGCTTCTTAGACCTAATTTCAGTATACATGCAATAAGCCATTATATTACTATCATGGACGTACCCAAGGGAGGGGGGCAAGGGAAGGCAGCTATCCCTCCCCTTTTTGCCCAAATTGCATGCCTTACAATATTATAAGTTTTGAAAAAAGTACCGCGCAGTAAGCAAGAGCTGCAAATCTGACTCCCCCCTCCCCCTCAACTCGGAGATAAAAGTTGAGTACGCCCATGATTACTATAAAGAATTTTCAATATGCATTTGCGTGATAGGGTAATTGCGGGAAATACTGATATACCCTTTTTGTTACAATAAAAGCACACACCTTCGACATTTATTGTTAAGCGTATATTTACTTATATTATTAATACTCATTTAGCAAACAAGCTCCGTTTATCATTAAATTTATATAATATAAATGAAATAAAGTAGTAAATAGTAGGTAAGTAACAGATGTTAAATCTAAACCAGTCAGAGATATAAATCTAAATAGATGTGACAATCGTACTTTGGATGTAAATTTTATACCCAAAATTGATAAACAATAGAAAAAATAGATAGAACAATAGGTAATTTATTCAGGAAAATTTTCAATTCTCAATTCTTACCTATAATAAAATTACTCTTTAAAATACTAAAGGGAACTGACAAAACAGCTCTAAAAGTAGCATTTTCGGAATGGTTTAGCATGAGAAAGGATTTGCTCTCATCAAACAACTTTTGTTACGTCAAGAAGTTAATATACTTGCGTCTATTTGCGACTACAGAAACCGATAACACGGTGCAAATACTATGTTAAAAAAAAATTATGAAAACTGCTACTTTTTAATCTGAGAAAGAAAAAACATCTAAGTAGAATAAGGCATAATACCTCTATTAATCAAATCATACGAAACAATTTTAAAATCATTATGCAATATAAACTGAAAGGGAACATTATTTATATTGTATACCTACATAACGAACGGAGCTTACTTGCTTTATGAAATACACAGTGAAGCGTTAACCGTATGCCCCTTGGAATGCTTGCCACACATAAACAAGGGCTTGTGTAAATATAACTAGTTACAAAGAAAGCTAAAAGTATAACAATGTAGGTCGGAATACATTCCACTTGATCAATACATGAATAGACAACTAACATTTGGCGCAACCCAGAAAAACTTGCCGATTATTACGAAAATAATATTTTTTTTATTACTTTTGTACTTGGAATTGCCGCTCCTTTAGAAAAAAAAAAAACTAAAGAAAAAAAAATTGAAAAATACTTATTTTTTAAATTATAGATTAAATAAGACAGTTACTTTTTTTTATAAAGGTGCAAATTATATTCTGTATAGAAGCAAGTGGAATTCCAATAATAAAAAAAAAATAAAAAAGAAACAACCAGCCATGCATTGGAACATAGCCTCGTAGATTAGTCGGTAAGAAGAACCAAAAAAAAAATTGTGTTCATAGGTACCAGTTTTAATGTACAAAATATTAGTAGCGTGACCTTCTGTCCATGTTTCTTATGGAATTGGCGAGACACAGCGCGAACAGGGCACCGACCACCTGAAAATAAAATAATACATAAAAATAATACATAATAATAATATGTTCACAACGGTAATAAGAGAATCAAACAGGGTAATAAGAGAGCATATTGTTACTTTTTTTTTTTATATTATTCTTACATTTTAAAACCCTAATTGTTTACAAAAAAAAAAAGAAAAAACAGTAAGTTAAGTAGTCTTTGGATTGCAATAAACAGTTATTGCAATCCAAAGACCAAAGTCAAAATTTTTTTTTTATTTTGTTGTCTATTTTACTGTTTTATTTTCTAACCATTAAATTAATTAAAATAATTTTTCTTTAATAGTTTAATGTTTTTTTTTTTTGTCTTTTCATTAATATCTTTTTCATTTTTATAAATTTTGTAAGTACCCATTATATTTTAATGTAATAATTACTGCATTATTATTTTGTTGAGTTTTGTTTTTTATTGATTAATTTGTTGACAAAGCTCGATTACTTTCCGGCCCATCCAAGTAAAGTACACATAAATTAATCCAGTAATTATTACATTAAATTTTCTTTTTCTATTCTTTTCTTTCAATCTTTTTTTTTTCATTCATATTTTTTTAATAGTAATAATCACCAACAGAACACTTACCTCAACGCAAGCTACACCGATAGCGAACCCAGCGATGGGCTTGTTCCATCTCTCATACAGATCAGCTACTTTGGCCGAGCAGCCGCCGTTGGCGTTGGCGATTGTGCATCCAATAGCGTTGCTGACGAGTGTGTCCTTCTTGCAGCAGGATTGTGGTAAGTTGACAGCGCCGTAGTCGCCACTACCGTTGCTACCGCAGCATTGCAACTGGAAACAAACAAAACTGAACGTTAAACATGTTTCAATACGACACAAAATAGAATAAACTTTCTTACAGCACTAATGTTTTTTTGTACTTAAAATGGCAAACAAGTTAATAGCCCTATTTGATGGAAAGTCGTAACCGTCATTTATAGACATGAACAGCACCATGAAATAAATGATACCCATGAAATACCTCATGCGTTGCTATTCCTGAGGACTAAGATCTTACGTCTCCATACCCTGCAATTTCATCACCCACCCTTCAAATCGAAACAGAGCCATGCGAATCATAGGTGTTTCACGCAGAAATACGGATAGGACAGAGGACGTCGCTACAAAGGCGAAGTTACGGCCCGCCTATTTGTTAGTAGGTCTTTTTACCAAACATGTGAAGGTGAGCGAGACGCACGGTCTCCCTAGAATGACAATTGGTTGGAAAGCCTATCTCTTAAAAAGACGCGATCTATCAGCGCGCGAAATTAGATATTATTTATGAATCCATACGTTGGTTCTATGTTTTCTTAATTATACTAAAACAGCACTCAAATTCTCATGTGTGCCCTTCTGGTTATGGGGTTTTTTTCCTTTTAACCTTATCTATATATTTATATAAGGTTCCTTCTTTTAACCTTATTTTCATGTCTAAATAAAACAGGATGCTGAGTGAGTGAGTAACTGACCCCATATCAGGGGGGAAAGGGATTGTTAGTAATGTAGACTGAGAATCCCATTGCTAGCAATATACCCAACCAGGTCGCCTCCTCGCGGTTCCCCCTGGAAACTATCATGGTTAATTCCTGATGAATTCATCATGATGGGCTAACTGGCCTGTTTTCATTCTCATCTATCACCCTTCACTGGTGCTCCGTCAGCGTATCCCGTTAGCGCAGGCGGAGTTACCAATACCATTTTCACCCATAAAAAAAAAAACTGACCCCATATCAACGGACAGCTGAAACCGCTGAATCTAGAATCTTGAAATTTTGCAGAGAGGTACTTTATATAACGCAGTGAACACCTAAAGGGATAAAACGGGGCTTGAAAAATTGTATACAACTTCGTGACTTTAGAAATGAAACTTTAGATTTAGGCTCATGGTTCAAAACAAAAATTGCGAGATTTAGAATGTGGTATTCGATTTCCTTCACGCGAACGAAGTCGCGGGCAGAAACTAGTATCTTAATATATTTGTTCTTATCACCTGATCAACTTAGATAATTGAATAATTTGATCTATAAAATGACTATGAATGTAGTTATGGGTGATCGATGGCACACCGTCATTAGTAGTTAGTGTTTGTTACCTGTTCCTGAAGATTCTTGAAGACCTCGTCGGATGCTGTGTCGATGCTTCGTTTCTCCCAGAGCTTCTGCACGCTGATGACCAGTCCTTCCTTGATGTTGTTACCGTATGTGAAGAGTAAAATCGCGAGGACAACTTGCAATATGATAATCACCAACAGGAAGATGGCATACTGCGAATAAATAAATATATATGTTTACTATTAATATCAATAAGACTAGAAAAGAACCTTTACAAGAATAATTTCGCTGCATTTTTAATACTCTATTGTACAACATTATAATTTTTTTTTATTCTTTAAAAGGTTATTAAATAATATTATAAACATCATTGATATTTTTAGTAGTAGCCTGCCAAAGATATTAGATGCGGCTCAGACATTTCTGGAGTCATGAAAGAACTCGTTAATTTGCCAGCTCAAGATATCGTCGTGAAATTTGATTTTTTTTTTGAGTAAAAATTAGTTGATAAAAAAAACATAACAATATATAACCTACCGTCACGACCATGCAGTGGCTTTCCCGAATGGCGCCGCAGCATCCGAAGAAGGCAATCACAAACATAACAGCGCCAATAACAATGAACACCCACGGCGCAACCGTCAGGTGGCTCTTGAGCTCATCCTTCACCGCGCTCCAGTTGAGCAGGAATGCTACGCCCACGCCGATTATGGCCAGACCCAGCAACTGTGGACAAGAAAAAAGAATAATTTAAAATCTGTTACTATAGGGTTGTCAACGGACACGTGACAATACCGGTGTTTTTTTTTTAATGGATGATAATGGAACGAATGGTAACCCCACCTGCGCTATTAAAGGAGATATATGCTGGGAGGGCACGAGTCTGTAAGACCCCATTAGTAACAACCCCCCTCCCTCCCCCTCATTGGTAACATTAGCCTATCAAGACTCAAACCAATCTTCACTATCCCCCTAAAAATCATAGTGGTTAAGATCTGGTGAATTCGTCAGGATTAGCCAACTGACTTGACTTCAACTTCATCTAGCATCATTCATCGATGCAATGCCAGTGTTTACCGATAGCTCTGGCTGAGTTATCATTCCATTATCGTCTATAAAAAAACATCGAAAAAATACCAGAAATTTCAGTACACTAGGCGAGAATACTATTACAGCATTAAATCCGTCTTCAATGGGGGGAAAGGGATTGTTAGTAATGGCGACTGAGAATCCCATTGCTAGCAATATACCCAACCAGGTCGACCTCCTCGCGGTTCCCCCTGGAAACTATCATGATTAATTCCAGATGAATTCATCATGATGGTTTAACTGGCCTGTTTTCATTCTCATCTATCACCATTTACAGGTGCTCCGCCAGCGTATCCCGTTAGCGCAGGCGGGGCTACCATTCCATTTTCATCCAATAAAAAAAAAGTCAGTCTTCAGTATCTTTATAAATGTGGTCAATAGAAAACAAAAAAATGCAATCCAGTCCAAATAAAGAGTAATGTGAGTTGAATAAAGATTTATGTTACAAATAAAGACTGCGTTCACTTTTACAACGATTAGTTTGTATTTGTTTTCTTGGCAATCTAAGTTTCCGTAACGACTGGAATAATAAAAGACTTCACTAAGAATCTACGTATAATGAGGCCGATTCTGAGACGCCATTTCCCTAAATCTAATATTTCGAAACTTATATCATCATATCAGCCTTTAATTGTCAATGCAATGTATATATCCCTTGGGATATATATATATATATATATATATATATATATATATATATATATATATATATATATATATATATATATATATATATATATATATATATATATATATATATATATATGCCGACATTTCAACGTGGATTGCATCACGTTGTGGTCACGACAGGACTCAATAATAATAATAAGATTTATTTTCTCTTCACAATTCATCACAGTGAAATACAATGAGACATGCTTATATTAAATTAATCAAATTATGAATTATAATAATAACAGGACAGAAGTAAAAAAGAAGCATGTATGTAGGTACTATATACCTGTAAAGGCTTTTTCATCGCGTTAAGTCCCGATTGTGTAGTTAAAATACATGCTAATATTTGTTTAAAGGATAGGTTATATTCTAACTTAGAACATGTGTTATGTCCATGATCTATCTATCTATCTACCTATTTTTAAATAATGTGTTATCTCAGAATCAGATTGAAGAATAAAATCAATTACACACACACATACACATTGCTTTTTTACGAGACATACAAACGTGCATGCATTATATATATATATATATATATATATATATATATATATATATATATATATATATATATATATATATATATATATATATATACACATATTATTTATAGTATCGTGTGTAAGCCAAATATACCATAATATATACATCATACAAATGCGAAAGCGTACAAAGACTCGGTCTGGCAAATGTGTTTATGTTCATCGTTGCAGAACGTGGTAAATACAGTAAATACAGGCATGGTTTAAATATGTGTACAACTTTATATAATACAATACACAATATATTTAAAGCACGAGTACAATGCTCTCGTAACTATTTGTATTATATATGTGATAGAACGAAACGAATTCTACAATGATGAATGAAATGCATTCCACCATTGTCTGTATTTTAGCGCCTGTGTATCACTAAAGTTGAAAATCAATCGACTTTTCAATAATATTGTAATTCTACCTACAAATTAGTTATTTAAAGACTCAAAATACTGGTATAATTTTAATTAGTTATATAGTTATCGAATATGGGTAAAACTTTACTCACTACTTTACCACAATTTCAACCGTGAAGCAGCTGTGTTTGCATGGCTGTGTTTCGGTTTGAAGGGTAGGATATGGCGTGAATTTACTGGGTACAGAGTAATAACACCTGAGTCCTCAGGAATGGCAACGCATGGGGGGTATTATGGGCGCAACAGTATACTCTGTTATGTCCATGATACTGCTCATGTCCATAGGCGACGGTTACCACTTTCCATCAGGTGGATCGTCAGCTTGTTTGCCATTCTAAGTTATATAAAAAAAAAGTTTCCGTCGTTTTCGTAAAATAAGTAGCCTATGTCCTTCCTCGCGGTTCAGTTGTTTTGATGTAACAGACACATTTCCCTTAACTGCTCTGCTCCTATTGATCGTAGCGTGATGAAAAGTATACTATAACCTGCCCAGGAGTATGAAGAATATTTGTACCAAGTTTCGTTAAAATCCGTCGAGTAGTTTTTGTTTCTATAACAAATACACAGACAGACAGACAAAAATTTTACTGATTGCACTTTTGGCATCAGTATCGATCACTAATCACCCCCTGATAGTTATTTTGGAAATATATTTCATGTACAGAATTGACCTCTCTACAGATTTATTAAGGTATAGTTAAGGTTAAAAAATAAATTTACAGAAGTCACCTCAGAATCGGTCCCAATGTTTGTACATGGGAGATATTAAGAAAATAAATATGAGGACTCTTAAAAAGGACAATAGATTTTTTCAGAAGTTTTGTCTGTCCGTCTCTATGTTTATTCTGGCATCACGTAAAAAGTACTGCACCAAATTGAATGCGATTTTTACATTTGTATTCCTAAAGGGCTAACTTAAAAACTGATATATGTTCTAACTTGATGCACCATCTAAAAGTTATTTATTTCATTTATTTTTCTATTTCTGAAATCTACGCATACCAAGTAGCGGGAAAAAAGCTAGTATCCAATAAAAATATAAGTAAACATTCAGAATACAAACAGATCAATTACTTTAGAAAGTTGCTCTTTCTGTTTGTTGAAGCACTTGTGTTAAATAGTGCTAAGTGAATTTTTAAGAGGGTGATAAAAGCCGTTATGTTTGTATTCACTCGACGAATGATAACACTATCACGAAGTTTAAACATGTATTTGGATCAATGGGCCACCCGAAAAGCACTTTATGGTGTCTAAGTACTGTCAACACGCATCAAAATATTTTAGGTACTCACATACTTTTTTGGTAGATTTTTATCTATGATACTACTATTAATTAAAGCCACAGATAAAATATGGTACCTACATCACAATCATTACCACAACCAGACAACCACGACATTTTACGTTCACATTTATTTTAATTGTTCCTATTATTATTTCTTTAATATAAAATGCTAGCTACAAATGCAAAAGTTTCGTAAGGATGAATGGAATGAAATGAAAAAAAAAAAGAGTAAATGAATGTTTGTTACTCTGAAACTACTGACCGGAGGGTCTATCATGAAATAAAATTCCAAATTTTCGAACTCAATTTCATATTGCGTGGATTTCCACGCAAGTATTCTAGGTACCCTACCAGCTGGCAATGATCTCAAAGAAATTTTTTATCTTTAAATAATGTTTTAAGTACTAGTTCTTTATATTTATAGCACGTAGATGTTAGATGTGTATATAATATATAGACTATATTTTTACATATTTGTATTATAATATATATAAAATTTTGTGTATAATTAATATATATCAATAATTTATTTCATGTTAAATTTCATACAAAAATCGGCTCAATAAGTGGAGCTTAACATTTCGTTCATCATAAGTTCTATCATAATAGTCCAATGGAACACTATTTTAACATTAAGTTTGTATTTCAGTGACAATTTTATTATCATATACATATAACCTCAACATGAATATATACACGTGTGATCCCGGCATAGAATGGACCACCCTTTCCTTTCCCGTAGATGCTGTAAAAAGCGACTATAGCAACTTAAAAGTTAAATTATGGGCAACAGTACCCCTCTTAAAACATCATCTTACGGCGGTTGCCAATCCGCCTGCCAAGCGTGACAAGTACTGGTAAAACCGCCTTATGGGATATATATATATATATATATATATATATATATATATATATATATATATATATATATATATATATATATATATATATATATATATATATATATATATATATATATAATGTATGATTTATTGTCATAACTTATTTATAGTCATTTACCAAGAGATGCAGCGTTCGTTCACCTACATTATAAACTAAGATTCATTTCCCCAACATTCATTCATGGGATTCATAATTTTCATTTGAAAAGCGCAGGCGAACCCGTCGAGCCTCGCTAATCTCAGTCCTATTCCCTACTGTATCAAAAAAAAATAGAAGGCATCCGTTCTTCAAGAATAGAATAGAGTTTCTTACATGTTTACCATAATAATTATTTTCATAAGACCATGAGGAGATAAAACTCGCCTTCTTAGGTGCCTCTGTGTCGACCATGCCTTTGACGGGTAGCCATGTTTCGGTTTAACAGAGTTAGCTAATATCAGTATCAATATTCATATGATACACGAATAAAATTTTGTTTAAATGTTTGCTTCTTAAATACGCTTAAACAGATTTGATACACAAATAAACCATACCCCGAATAGCGATATTAGCTTCTCTTAATCTTAATTTACTCAAGCAAATAATAATAATAATTTATTTACCAGAAACATAGATAATATGATGTTACAGTTTGTTTCTTAATATTCAGTATGTTTCGCCAAATTTAATAGCATACAAATGTTTATAAGTATTATCCATCAAACATAATATATCCGTTACATTATAATTTTAATATAATTAACATTGATTAACATTCTAATATTAAATTATTTAAAATTAACATTTATATAAATACATGTGTCAATATATTTAAATCCA